CCTAGCTCCGCCACCACTGGACCGATTTTTAAAAACTACAATGCTGTTTTATTCATAGCGTAGTAGTAACCTTGTGTGGCAGTTTCATCAAAATCCGGCAGCAGCGGTGACCGCAGTAGTAGACTCTTCGGTCTCCTGATCAGTCGCCGTGCGCTGTGCGGGTTCAAATTCCGTCCCAGGAGAAATTTTTCTCTTGGCTATGGATGTTGTGATTTTCCGTAGGTGGTAGACGGTCTCTGACTGTCGAACGCGGAGGTACCACCCGGCGGATCTCGTAGGCGGAGCCAGAATGTGTGCGTGTTGTATGCACACGTGTTCCCTCGCCAGAGTCCATGTGGCGTTCCCCCTTTCGCCTGTATCCCCTATAGCCCCACGGTACCCAATGAGTGTTTAGGCCTTAGGCCTTCGTGGTAGTTGGAGTATAAAAAATCCAAGCGGTACTTCTCAATTAGCGGGCAGGCCGACAGAAAGACACGTTTGACATTGTTTTTCGTGATGTACATGTCATATAACATCCAAAAAACATAATGTCTCAATTTCGAAATTTTTCGCGGTTACAATACTTTTTCGCCAATTTTGGCAGTGGCAGTAAAACCGCTTCAACTCTGTTGGTCTGAACTGCCAAGCCGTACCATAGGGGTTCAAAAACGTTAAAACATGGACAAAACTAAAAAGATTATATCTATTTGTCAAAAATCAAAATGGCGAATCCAATATTCCTGGTTTGTTTACAAAAAAACGTTTGGATCTCTCTCAAATTCGTGCTTTGTATGTTCTTCAGGTTTCTGGTAACGAATTAGATTTGAATTAGATTTTTTGAAATCAAAGTGACGGATCCAATATGACGGATACCTATGCAAAAAACTGTTTATTCCTTTGGAATTTGAGTTTTGTATGTTTAAGGGTACTTTCCAAATTCTCCAAATATCAAAATGGGAGACACGTATGCAAAAAAAAAAATATTTAGTTGCTATGTTGCACATGTCTTCAATGTATTTTTCCACTGTATAATGTCTCATAATTGTCAAAGTTGCAGTCAGCTGCAGCCAAAATTGACGTATTTCTTAACTGACAAACATGCTACTATTAAAAATAGAGTGAAATCTATTATCTAATGGACATTTTTTCTGAAATATTTTTGAATTTACTAATTCACTATGAATTACAGAAAAATTACATAATGTCGTATCATATCACGTGTCGATTGGAAAGTAACACAATTCCATTTCATGATTATACATATAGTACCTTCGATTCTACAATCATTTTTGCCACATATCCATACAGCTGGTTGCTTTGTAACGTGCCATGAGCTATTTGGCATTTTAACGTTTGATGCGACATTCATTCACTTCACTATAATTCCCCAAACAGAGCCATCTAAATGGAACCAATGTGATCAAAAGATGAATTATGCATACCTATAATTAAGAACACAATCTGGAGTCAAACGCAAAAAAGGACTTTCGGCCAGGTGTTTCAATTCTTGAACCAAAAGATATTACGCATGTTATCATAATACCCATGTATACCACGTAAGGGGAGCGAAGGCCTTCGTATTGCTTTTTTTTGATGACATGGAGTCTAGGGGTTCTGGATGGTAGTTAAGTCAGCAACATTTATTTTTTTACTTCAACGGATAACCTATAAATTTTATACGATTTCGAGTTTGCCCCGAATGTATTAGCAATAGAAATTGATGGTTAACATGTTAGTGCAAAGTTGGACGAGCCAGACCTTCTGTATTCAGGACGTGTGCATGAAAACCAATACTATCTCCAAATTGTAAAATATACTAATTTGTTTACGTAAGCATGGGAAGAACTTCAGCCTGTCATATCTATGGATGATGTCATTTTTCAAAGATTATTTTCATCATTAAATTCTAGCAAAACCTTGCACACATTATTAAAAATCTGAGAAGACCTTTACTAATAATGATGGAGAAATGTTTACTATCAAAAGTGTGTTCACGAGTCAAAAAGTGAAACTTTTTTATTCGACCAGATATATCTATTCAAATAATTTGTGATTCATGAGTAGGTAACTATTCCATTTGTTAATTTGCTTTTATCACCAATAAAACTTAACCGTGTCGTAATTTTCCTCACTTGTTCTAATTGTTACAAAGACATTTCTACATTCTTCTGTTCTTACAACGACATGGCTTTTCGGCACGCTTTATCCAGGTTTAGAAATGGTAATCTGTTTAACTTGATCCTTCTTCAAGAAAATAACTGTGTAGGTTGGCTTGTTTAAATAAATTTGTCTTCATATTTTAGGTTCATGATCTTCAAACTTTGTCCATACTGATATAACACGCGTCAAAGTATATCGCCTTAATCTGAGCTTTTTCGAACTTCACTGGTAGTGTCTTAAAATCTTTCACCACAATACATAAATTATTTGTCCATCATGATCATTTTCTCACTTTGAACAATGTCTTCAGCTGGTGGTAGAGGTCGAAACAGATCTTTGGGCCGCACATTGTCTCAAGATGCCAACATACACATAGTAGATTTTAAGCTCCCGAAAAACAATTAGAGGTTAGAATATATGGCAGAAACCAAAAACCAAAAGATGTATCAGTTTAACTATATGCCATATAATAATGACACTGGGCTTCTCTATGAATAAAGATAATCATTATAAAGGGCAGTGGTACCAGATCAAAAATTCTGAAAACAGTTCACCCCTCAATTCCCAAGATCTCCCGTTGAAACACAACTGAGTTTCAGATTATTTTCTGTAAAGAAACAGTTAATTAACCCTGAACAAAAGCAAAAAATCTAACAACCAAGTGCAAAATATTTGATTTATTTAATTTATAATGTAAATTTATGAAAAACTGTGAGGCTCAAAGCGGTAGACAACTGGTAACGCTGAGGGGGGACAAGGAGACAGCCCTCTCTCCCATGACAGCACCAATTATTTTACATAGTGTATAAACACAGGTGACCTTGACAAATCGTATCTGCGATATAGTTGCTTTGTAGATTAACGTACGAAAACAACTGAGAGTCTACGTTTAAAGTTCTTACGCAAACTGCATTATAAGTAAGTCCAAGATTTAGAGGATTCCTAATTGCAGAACGTTTGCCATTCGAATTACGGATTAGCGTAGCTAACGATCTAATGATAATGAACTTTGAAGCGTCCGGTTCAGACATCGGCTAGACAGTGATTTATGTTTTCGACCCTCCATTGTATCGCCTGGATTGGAAGTTGAAATGAATGGCTTACGGGCTTACGCTAAATCAGTGTATATGTAAACTTGAACCTTTCCGCTAAATAAACGATGATTGTGTAAGTACCTATATGTACGCTCAGCCCTCACTCTGAAGGGATAACCTTAAATCTTTTGAACATCCCAAGACAAAGGTGCCTGGATATTATTTGACACAATGATGAATAAGTAGATCTATTGGTCCTCCACATTTCTGATCCAATATAGAATCTCGCTCAGTGTACGTGATCGGAGGTATATCATTTGTCTAGATCTATGCATCTGTCCACATCATCGTAAGCACAAAAACAGATAACTAGATTTTGACAAGTTTTCTTATAATTGATTTGACTTTGAGAGTTGTTAACTCTACGCCCCATTTTTGTGGGACCACTTCTCTCGACGCACCTGTTATTTGATGTTTTCATATCTTTAATGCTCAATCAATATAGTAGTTATAAACAATTTATAACTCATTATAACCCTTCCATTCTGCCACTCAAATTAAGAACCAGTGGATGGGAACTTCAAGATAGTGCTAGATTTGCTACTCCTATATTTCAATAAATACCTCTGTATGTTTTAACTCCACACGCACTTTTTTAACTTACTTATTTATTATTAAGCATATTAGAACAATATTTAATATATACCCAAACTTACGAATTTTGATTTTTTAAGATCGTTTCTAGAGGAGCATAATTTTATTTACAAACTAGGACAACTGGCCTATCAAAAATTACATTCACTAAATCAAAAACTGAATATAAACTCAAAGAAAATACGAAAAAAAATATCCACCTTTATCTGCCTCCTGTGAGGATTGAACTCACGACCCCTGGTTTACAAGACCAGTGCTCTGCCACTGAGCTAAAGAGGCTTCGTTTAAATTTGTGCTGTTTAGCGTACATACTGCTCAATAAAACAGACCATCCGCAAATTTGTTTTTTTAGAAATTATATTATTCATAAAATATATTTTATACTGTAATAATCTCAATTAAAATTTACAAACTATTTAATTAGTGTTCGGTGATTTTATTCAGCAAGGTTTTACTTAATAAATCGACAGTGTGCCTGTATGCAGGGTTGCCAGATTTTCAGTTAAGTTGGTCGCCAAGTTTTGTTGAGAAAATCGCCAACCCTTGGAATGAAACTGGTTGGGATGATAATACTCTAACAATGAACAGGTCATTGAACAAAACAGGAAGGTGGGGATAGGGGGTTGATCGACACGTGCAATCTGAACGAAACTATAAGTTCATTCATAGGTGGCCGATCCAGAGAGGCATTTTAAGGTGGGGGGACTTCTGGGAGTGTACGTTCTTGTGAGAACGGAAAAACGAAGAGCGGGGAGACAAGCATTGTCTGAGTATTTACCTTTCCCAATGATCTTTTGGGGGCTCTCCCGCAGGTTTATTAAGTAAGCAACCAATATAATGTCAAGAAAACTATAAAATGTCAACTTGTTGACTAAGTAAGCTAGTGTCCCAATACAACAGCTAGTTCCAAGTTGTCTTGATGGAAAACCAACATAATGTCAAAACACCGACAATGTCAAAAAAGCCGACAAAATGTCACTTTTCAAGTTACGTAATACCCCTCCAGCTTATCGTACAAAAACAGTATTAATCGTACATATAGCAACACTGTGTCAAAAGTGTTAGGAAGTTAGGATGAAAAGTCGTTGATATGTTCATAACAAGACACCTTGACATGTCAGCCGTCAGAAGTGTTAAAATTAGCCAGACAACGCCTATTTTCTGGATACTGGGTGCCACTACAATAGCCAATCGCCAAACTATCCATTTTAGTGGTCATTTGAAGCCGCCAAACCGCCACTTTGGTAAAAGATCGCCATGCCTGGCAACGCTGCCGGTATGTGTTATAAGGCGGTTTATGTATACGGGGTGCGGATGATAAGATTGTTTTTAATAATGATTATTCTAACTTGGTAATATTTAGATAGATAGATAGATAGATAGATGCTATATTGTCTTCGGATCATAGGTATGATATAAGACTCGCCAGACATATCTCTATAAGTACATTATTATCTACAAAATTAAAAATATAATTAAGTATAAATACATAAATTTGTCGGTTAAAATGGAAAAGAACACAGTTAGTCGAAAAAGGGCAAAGGACACATGAGCGCACGAATGAAAACGTACACTAAACAAGCAGATACAATAATAAACGGAACAAGGTGTAAAAGAAGTTAGTACAATAGAAATAGAAAAAAATATCCACTCTGAGTGTCTAAGCTTTTCTGCATAGTTTCCAAGGCAATATATTAGTGCTATTTGCCGATAGCCAGATAACTGTTTCAACCGCTCTCAAAGAATAAAGCGAAGCTATACCGGGTTCCAAAACATTAATGTATAAAGTATTAAAAAACAGACTCAAAATAATACTCAGTTTTTTTGTCTCCGTCACCATACTGCCAATTGTGAAACTTCCTAAGTGCATTTTTCTTAGATACCTAAATGCCGCTATTAACCGACTGCGCATCTCTTATGAATTTGAAACATTCGATATTGGCCTAAGCAGGGTTTCAATTAGTTTTGGAAGGTTTTATTTCTATATTATCCCTCACCAGTAAAATACAAAAAAACCTGTATAAAGTATTTGCATATAATGTAAAATACGGAATACGTTGATCTGTAACTTTTTAGGTAGGTACAAGTTGCATAGAATATTGATTATAGTTCGAGATTTCAAATGTCTAATAAATTTAAAAGCTGAACGGAAAAAGTTTTCAAATAATTGGCATCGAAAGTTAAATGTATAGTTCTGCTTTCGAAGTGTTTTCCGTTAAATATGATACACCCGTATTCATTATATAGGTAATTAAGTTAATAATACGTCTTCGGACCGCAATGAGTATTCGCCAAGCTTACGGCTTCGGGTTAATGTGTCATTGTTTCCCGCTCTGGAGATTGCATTAGTTCAGTCATTTTAGATTCAAAAGGCAGAGATAATAAAAAGACTCATCATGCTTTTGGAATTGGATTCATATAGAGCTTTTCGTTTGTATTATCTTCTAAGCCAGCAGATGTAACATACTGTAAAGATTTTCGGAGAAGCTACTTCCATTGAATTTTTATCTATGGATATCGTTCTTTTATAAGACCTCGCGGTTTTTGATTCCTCCATTGATAATTCGTTAGAAAAACTTACATTTTCCCTTTTTCAACAAAAGTACATTTCGTAATAATATGACAGTCTTGTTTTTACTAAAACTGTAATATGTCCCCTCTTTTTCATTTTGATACATTCTTCAAGTTTATATCTTTCTCAACTACTTCTAGCAAATTAGTCAGCATCTAAAGCAAATTAGTCCCACCCAAGTCGAATTTGTCAGTCAGAAACGAGAAGAAGGCAAGGAAAAATGTCAATATAGGAAGGAGGTATGATTCACAGAAGAGAAGAAGTGGATCTGTTTATCAGGAGATTTCTTTCTTGGAGCGCACCAAAAATGAATATACTCGTAGATTGGAAAGTTGTTAAAAGATACAGTTTGCTCATATATCTTCTTCCTTTTAAAAGCCGTTTTATCCTGCAACCCTTCTTTCGCAAACACGTATCGTGCAAACTCATTACCAGACCAAATTAAAAATGTTTAACCACAGAAATCTTCAAACTTAATTTTCTGATTCAAATTGGAAACAGCCACCAACCTACAAAGCTTATCAAGAGCAAAGATCCTACGGACCACTCAGGACCTCTATTATTGAAACCAAGGGGCTATATATATATATATATATATATATACATATATACGTGTGTGTGTATATGAGTTGCTTGACCTGAATGGTGAAACGTTAATTTTCCTATTCAAATTGGAAACAGCCACCAACCTACAAAGCTTATCAAGAGCAAAGATCCTACGCACCACTCAGGACATCTTTTACTGAAACCAAGGGGATATATATACGTGTGTGTGTGTGTATATATGACTTGCTTGACCTGAATGGTGAAACGTGCGTCCCCCTAGACATATCCCACCCGCCGCTCTTCAATTTTTACAAGGTCATTTGCTCTCTTGTTCTCAGAAACGCTGCTCAAGTGTTAAAGCATGCAGCTACTACCCTCCTCCCTCTTTAATGTTTAATCCCTCCTTTCCTCCTCCCTGCGCCGCCATAGACAAACTCCTAAGCCCGCCCTTGTTTGTGAACGCATTCATTTTCGGCAAAATAGTACGTTCCTGGGATCTTCGTATTATTGACGTACACACTGTTTTATTCTAAATTAACTAAGCTATTATTAATAATTTTTTAATTTCGATGTCGCCAAGTCGCACGCAATAGCTCTATAAATCTCCAGCAGCGGTAAAACATAAAATTAAAAATTACGTGCCACATTTTTTCATGGTTGGTGGGCTCAAATTCATCAAAAATATGAATCGGACTGAATTTAGGTAATGTTAAGCAGACCATAATTTGGAGACATGAGACATATACACGTGAATATAACATCATATCTACCTCTGTTTTAGGAATATTATTTTTGAAAATTATGTTATCATATGGAACTTGTTCTCTCGTGCTTACATCAACTTGTTTATACATCGATATAGATAATTTTTGTTGTGCTTTCGTTCGTTGTCCTATCTAGAACGTGCTGATAATTGCCAATAGCATGACACAGAGTTGTACACAGTTGGTTGGTTGAATGACATCATTACTATTGATTTTCAATGGCGAGTACACAATATATGTCACTATATCGTCAGAATAGGTAGTATAGTGATGTCTTGATTGTTGAAACAATCTGAAATGCCTTTTCAGTTTCAACAGTTACAATTTATTTACTCCGCAGTGGCAAGTTCTAGTAAAAGGTGCCACTTGTGCTATCGTATTTTTGTATATTTTGACATATACTGATGGATGACTCTTCCACAAAGATTATTATTTTACTGTGTTACTATATTGACATTTTCTTTTTTTTTTTGCAGGTGGCGATATACTCTCATTATGGGATACCTCGTAGCAACTTTACCACAGGTAAGGTAGAAACTTTGGTTTACGAAGCTGTGCTGAATGTGGGGAGTTATTATTGTCATGATCTAGACACGAAACTAAAATAGACCGATATCGAACATTATTAATTATTGACATACGAGGGCGGTCCGATAAGTACTTGGCCTATAAAAGAAAAACGAAATTTTTTGAAATGTGGTGATTTATTTCTCCTTTTAGCTCGATACACTTGACCCATTGATGATCCAACTTGTTTAATACGTCTGTAAAATACCTTTTCTGGGGGTCTGCAAAGTAGGCCTCCGTGACAGCGATATCCTCATTCGACTCAAATTTCTACTCGGCTAGTGAGTTTTTCAAGTTTGTAAACAAAAGGAAGTCGGGACCAAATCTGGAGAATTCGGTGAATGGGGTAGCACTTCGTAGCCTAATTCGACCAATTTAGCCGTGGAGACGGCGAAAGTGTAAGCCGGTGCGTTGTCATGGTTGAAAAGCTCTTTCTTCTTCGGCAAATTGGGCCGTTTTTCTACAATTCGGCGTCGAATCAGCCCAACAATTCGACATAGTAGAGCACTGTGACCGTTTTGCCCTTCTCCAGGTAGTCGATGTAAATCCCGAAAAACGGTGGCCATCACCTTTCCGGCCCTAGGACAGTCTTCGCCTTCTTCGAAGCACGTTCGCCGGGCGAAGTCGACTATTCCTTGGTCTCTGGTGTGTACCAGTGGATCCATATTTCGTCGACGGTCACGAAACGAGGCAGACACTTCTGCGGGTTACGCTTAAACAGCGTCAAACACTGCTCTGAAGTGGTCTCACGGTTGCGCTTGTTGTACGGAGTGAGTAAACGCTTCACTTATCACGCAGTCAACTTCCTCATGCTCAATATTTCATGCAGGATATGACCCACGCGGTCTTTTGACATGCCTACAGTCACAGCTACCTCGCGCACCTTCAATCGGCGGTCTGCCAATACGAGATCGTGGATTTTTGTCACGCAGTCCTCCGTGGTAGCCGTTTTCGGGGCATCTCCCTTCCAAAAACAAGAATCGAATCACCGACCGATATTGCTTTTTTCCATTTTTCTAAAATCGAGGACACGCGCGCTCCCACACGCGATCAAATCAAAACTACAAGACCCATTCAGCTGATATTTTGACAGTAGCCGTCTACAAGAATGTGGCGATCTGGCGATAGTGGCGCCATCGGGCGGTAAGGCTAAGTACTTATCGGACCGCCCTCGTAGATACCAGTGTTCTTTCATTCCAACATCGCTGAAGGGGTAAATGTTTTATTTGGAAATTTGTCTTTTTAATGTCTGAACAATTCCTGCACTTATTTTCCTGTCATATGTTTACCCTGAACACATTACAATTCAGAACCCTTCCATAAGTAACTTAAACAAAAATACAGTGGCGATATTACTAGGGCAGAACGTAGATCCATAAATATCACGTAGAGTTTATATAAACGTCGATTCTAAATAAATCCTCCCTTACCGATATATGTTGAAGTTATAATTTAGAAATCTAAAAAAATATGGAGTACTAGCAACATAACCAATACACACAGTGGCGTAACAATTTAGAATGTTTTACTCCTACAGAAGAGAAAAGCTAATCATTTGCTACGCCACTGACTCTATTAAAATTTTAAATAGAGAAATCAGTTTTACGTAAATTGCTGGTGTTGAAGAAGTATTAAAAACTTATATTTATTCTGATTTAAAAATACGCTGAAATGAGTGTGGTTTGACATTGAAAATTGTATCTTGTATATTGGAAGAGTATTACTATCTCGTTGTAATGAAATATTGACATTGTTTTCTTGAAAACAATTAATGCAGTTTAGAATGTATATATAGTCTTTTAATTTTTTCAGTTACTTATCTGCCAGGAAGAAACGACATCAGCAATAGAATATAGTGTGAGCAGCAGTAGTAGTACAAGCATAGGTATCGAAAAACACATAAATGCACCGGATCCAAAATCACATGAAACCGCAGCTTTGCTCAAGGACAACAATCAGACGAGAGATGGAATAGATGTGCTTGTCCAAGAAGCTAATTCCCCAGAATCGGTAAGTAAAGTAAGAGTTTTTACCCGACTGCCTCAGTAGGATGGTTATACAGGGTGTAAACGTTATGATAGTCATTATTTAAATGGTTGATGAAGGAGGTTAAAAGAAGCAAAAAGTTTCATATAACATGGGGGTCAACACGGCATTTTTTAGAGAAAAGCGACTTTAAAGTAAAATAAATCTGACAACGTCGCAAAACTATGCAAAAGGATAACTAACCATCGTTACCGTTTGCGATCGATTGCTGGTTCGATAAGAGTGATGATGACTGACGCGCTGTTGTCATGTATGTTTTAAATATTCAGTTTAATGAAACTTACTTAGTTACTGACTACAAATTTTGGCTTAATTTAGAAAAACTTAATGCCATTTATTTGTTAATTACCCAATTTAAAAACGTTTTAGATTAGATTATAAAAATTAGTAAGATTGTGGTGATTGTGGTCGATAGAAAGCGCTTAAAGTTGTAAACTATGAAGTCTTTTAGACAAAAATCTATTCACTTTTGGACCATGGGTCATATGAACTTTTTAACTTGATTTGTCTCCCCTATTACCCATTCGAATAATGACTACCATAACGTTTACACCCTGTATATGATGTTATATTTATATATACATACATATATATCCTTATCCGACTTAAATAAATACAATTCTATATCCAAACAACTTTATGGATGTTGACATTTGAGGTGTTGTTGCATTCGCCGTAGCAATTCGAGTGACGTTAAATTGAGATCTGTGATTGAGATGTTATCGAATCAAAATGGCGAATTTTAATAAAAGTTTATCCACCAAAATTGGTGTGATTTATAAGACAGTGGTAATATCTCTAGGACATAAGTACATTAAATAATTATACGAAAAGTTCAAAAAAATGTCCTTATCAAGATAAAGGGTGTTGAAGATTGAATTTGTATAAAATTATCATCTTGTAGATATGTCTAGCGCCTATAAAAATAAGGCAGAAAGTCGTCGATATTATGTATTGAGTACACTGAAGAACAGTTGAGTTAATGTTAATTTTAACATTTTTCAGTTTCTCTGTACAATATTCATGTATTTTTGCCATATTTAATCGACCTATGTATTTTTGCCACAACATTGAATACGTTTTAACATTCAAAGCTTCGTAGGTCAAAAAAAAACATCTTCAACGTATAACTTTGACCCTAATCTTAGATATGCCTAATTTGTAACTCACTTTATTGTGGAGTATATGGACATGCGTTGGTTTTATTTCCAACACGCATCTGCCTGAATACCTGAAATATAGCATCTTCAGCGCTGAAGTAATCGTACACGTGGTAGAAAAAGATATCATGATTTTAGGAAAACGTATCCCAAACTAACGGTAGATTTTTTAATATGCAGTGTTTTAAACTCATTCCACTAAGAATTACAAAAATCTAATAAGGAGATTTGAAGAATACTCTTCCGTGATCGAAATTAAAGCCACGAAACAATTTCAAATATTTGAAGCGCTTCTCATTTATCAGTGCTTTCTCGATAAGCGGGAAAACAGTGGAGGGATAGTCTGAATGACAGATGTCATTCCCAAGGTCATTGTTACATGAAGATTGATTGTTAAAAGGAGTAGAATAACTGATAGAAAAAATCGCGTCAAGTAAGTTGCCTCTGTACTTGTCACACTACGCGTTATCAGTTCGTATAGGATGATGTTTGGCACAAGTTAGCCTTTCTGAGGAAAGAGTTAGTCACTAATATGTATTACCAAAAATTAAATGACCTTCCTTTTCCCTCTGAGAGGATTGCTGCCAGTGCACATGATCGTTGTGATGACCAGTCCCGCGTGAATGACGATATTGGCCTTCACCATATCTTCGGCTGTCCGCAATAGTGTGGAAGCGACTGCCGACCGTAACGTTCGACCACCGACGACGATGTTTGTCCATCTCGGGGACCACGTCACACGTATCGACACCCGACTATCGGTTAAACTTCTTAGGTTTTAAGGGTAAATGTACGGGGACATCTATGATCAGTGAAATATTTCTAGTATGTGTGTAGAGTTAATGGTGTAAATATACCAACGTCAAAACATTGAGATATATCCAACCCCTAATCTCCAATGTTTAACCCATACAAACATTTTTCCGAAAATAATCAGTATGGTCTGAAACGTCAAAAAACAAAGTTTAAGCGATTTTTATTTTTTCATATAACATCCAAAAACAATATCTCATTTTGGAAATAAATTGCTATTACAGTACTTCCCCGGCAGTGGGCGTGGGTAGTAAAAGTGCAGAAATCTCGCCATTGACTATCAGGCTCATCTCTGAAGACGAAGTTAACTTTGTGTTGAAACTTTTATAGGAGCATTCTACTGCGCTCAATAATTGACCTCGTAAGGGAAGGGTGTTTTTCTATTAATTATTATTTATGCTAAACTCGAGGCTCGCGAAAACATTCTTATTAGCGTACACACATATAGAGCATTTATAAATCCAGGCAAACCTAAGCTATGAGTACTTGCAGTCTTGCAGTTTTTAGGGATATCAATCATGTTGTGAGATGTTGGTCAACCATCTTACATAAGCCGGATGGGATTATTCACTCTTATGACGTATCTGATACATCTCAATTTTAGAACGTTAAACAGTAATTAGTAAACATTGTATTTTTGCTTATTGTCTTCATCGCTAGCGATTGTTTCGGTATTTAGATACTTGTTAAATCACCAGCTATTCTCAAAAGCAGGAAATGCATAATATAGGCCAAAAATGACACAAAATAGGATTTAAGATTATTACAAAGGGCATAAAAAGTATATTTCAAGCTTTCTGATAAAATGAGGATGTCAATTTTATGAAAGAAATAAAAAGATCATTGTGCTAATTAAACATTTACGAGTATCTACCTACCACACGAAATGTGAAGATATCTAAAAAAATTTTACAAAGATATTTTAAAAGGAGAAGTTATTCGTTGATTTAAGAAAGACGTAGGTGTTTATTATTAGAATGTACTGTATTGTATACATTTTTCAGGTAGTTTATCTGGGCCAGGACACAGATTACGTACAAGTGCCAGCAGTTAGAAACCGAAATCAAGCACCTGTCGATAACGATGAACTGGATTGGCAGCATCCCCTAGATACATGGGACCGGGAGTATAGAAGAGTTAGGTTCAACAACACAAGGGTACAACGTAAGTACCGAGTTTTTCGAAAACCAGATTTTTTTGTACCATCTTTAGTTAACTCAACAGCGCTCAAGGTTAAAATCAGGTTCTTTTTCCTCAAACTAGGCCTAGTTGGCCCAGTTTGAGAGAAAATTTCTTGTAGTTCGTCAGACATACAACACGCTTAGCGGCCACACACTAGGAATAATCGGACTACGTTGCACCTTTGGATTTATTGAGTTTCCAGACAAATATTTGAAAAACTATGAGAAAGAATTTACTCACATTTTTCAGACAGTTTATTGTATGACCAGTCTCTTGTATAAAATGAAAGAATGTGAGTTGAGTCAAATATCTAATAAGCTAGAAGTTAGATTTTTTAAATTTGCTTCGTAACGTTTGACTGCTTTCCAAATTTTATTTTAAAAATTCTATAATGTCTTATGAAACTGAATTATAAATACAAAAATAGCCTGAGAGACAAAGCGGTCTAGTTCCTTCAAAATTTAACGTGTGTTAAGACCATGTTTATAACATGAAAAAATCTAATAATACCGTCTTTTGTTAGAATCCATCCAGCTGCAGTCCATCTTCATTGTTTTATATAACATTATTACAAACAGCATTCATAGATAATTAGTTTAACATGTTTCCATAAACCATATTTGAATGTTAACCGCTCAAAATAAGATCACTTACGCTAGACTGTAAAACTTGAAGAAACGTGATATCAACCGAAATACTTTATGTGAGTCACAGGAGAATGTAAACTTCAAGAGCTGAATTTAATTAGGTGATTTCACATGAAGGGTACCAATTAACTTAAACTTGCACGTTGTTATTATACCAAAGGTTATAACTATAAAAAAACTCGGTACGCACATTACTACAGCCATTTAAATCTCCGCGATTTGTCTATCAAACTGCGAGATCTGCTTCCATAATTCAGCTGTCGGACTGTCGAAACGTTTCCTCTGTGGAAATTCCACAACTTTGGGAGGCTTCGCGCTCAGTTGAGTCGGAAAGTGATGGCTGATGGCCAGTGCAAGTGCGTGAAATGCCTCATATCACATGATGATGGTCAACAGATAAATGGTTGTTCACGCATTGCCACTGACTTACTTAATCCACGACTGAAAACTGAATCACGCGTTGATTATGTTGATGTGTAAATTTTAGTGTTTTCCTGTACATTTCAAGCATGTCGAAAATAAGTTTTTTCGTTACTGTTCGTTAAATAAAACGGAAAGCCAGATGTCACCGTAAGCATTCAATAACTGATGCAGTCACATGATATCACTTAACATGAATGTAAAAATATGTTTATGCTTTAAAAAATATGCTTGAATCTTTGTGGCAAAAAAGTCTTGGATGACAGTTTAAATACCAGTAATTTGTTATTACTAAATGTTTTTAAATTAAATTAAGTGACAATGAAAGCAAAATGGCGCAAACACGTCAACATAATAATAATCGTATGACACCAAACGTCAACATTAGTGAACCACCAATTGGAAAATGCTATTTGCCCAGTGAAATAATGCAAGAGGAGAAACGGTGGAGGGTGCCACAGAAACCAAAGGGTGCTTCGCTATCATCTGACCAACTGTCGTCGCTGTCAGATCCTTCGCCTGGTTGCTGATGATTATTTTCTCCTGATAGGTACTTAATTCCACCCACAAATAGCCCTTCGTTCAGCATTAACGTAGAAGGTACCATTTACAATGCTGTCACACAGCTAGAAGGATAATTTGAGACACTCGGCATTTTCATGACTTTAGAATTTTTTAATAGCTTATAGCATTGATTAACGTATTCTACCTGAAGAAAGCCAATCTAGTGCTATATTCGCTCAAGATACCGTTGCGTCATCTATGAGAAATTACCACATCTGTTTCTGTATTTATTATTATCCTTTGAAAAGGTCGGTGTCTCATAGATAACACTGTAGTCACTTATATGCTTGTATATGTCATATAGACAGCGCCATCGACGAGACACTAACCTTTTTAAAGTATATGTATATAATTTCCGCCCGCATTCATTTCGCATTCTCTCACTGGCCAGACATCTCCTAATATTACCATGTTTTCCCAGAAGTATTCTAAGTATTTTAAGACTATCATCAATTTGCGCGAGATGAGAAATAATGTCAGAATTAATGCGGTGTGATTACATTAAATCAGAGCCCCAAAGAGTAAACAATCGTTCATTCATACCTTTCCAGTGTTCTTCAAACCCTAAAACAAGTCTACTGCTTGTATGAAAACGCCAATCACGTTTAAGCAGAAACCTTCGAATCTAGAACAAAAAGAAATAAAATCGTAAAATAAACGATTACAGTCTTGGTAGAGGGTGGAGATGAAAATTTCGCTTTTAGTAAGAGACACGAAAATATTAAAAATCGATCTCCTACTAGGTATGATAATTCTAAAATATTCTACTTATAGACTAACAACAAAGTAAATATTTCAATAGTTTGCAACTTTTTTCCAGTGTGAGTTTTTCAGCTAGCCTCTCATGTAGCCTCAAGTGTCATCTATTTAATTCATAGATGTTCACGTCCAAACCACTTATGAAAAAATTTTCGAGAAGGTGGTTTTGAAGAAGTTTCATTATTATTAAAATGGTTTTGCGATATTGTGGTGCCTAGATCTGAATCAGAAAGTAAACACTGTCAACTTCTTCGTGAGATCCTCTAAAATCCCGTTAAAGGGACAAAACAGCGTTTGGTAGCGCGGCCGCCAGATCCCCTTTGTGACACTAAAACGAATGAAAAAATACTTCACGGCTGCAGATTACGTTTTCCACGCGGATTAGTTTCGCGAGTTGGTGCAACGCTGAGAAAATTGCTTACTTTAACTGTACATATAACGGACAGCTTAACGAATTGTCTCTCATTCCGACACTGCGGAAAGCGCCTTCGCAAATTGCCTTTTGATTTGTTTATTGTATTTTTCTTTTTCTTTCTCGCCATTAACAACCCAAATAATGCCCCATCATGATAATTGTCCGACAACCGTTTCTCAAACAAGAACATGATAAAGATTGAGCTACGAACTACACAACAGGTTACAGACATGTATGGCATTGTTACATAAGAAATACTCACAACGGTTAGATTTGTCCCACTTAAATATAGGTACGTACTTTTACATTTTAGGATATTCAGCAAATATCTCTAATTTTGTTGTCAAATTTTTCATCCACTTCACTAAAATCTTGTTCCTTAAAACCCGTATAGTGATCTTGAGTTTGCACTTAAGAAAAAAGAGTGTACGGAGGATTATTTTGTCCGAAGTTCGTACTAAAAGTGTATTAGGTTAAAATAATCAATAAATACAAAGGATGAGGACTCCAAAGGGCCTTTTAGATCCTGAACATAACTCAAATTTCAGTTTGATCGAATCCATATAATGTTTGCGCATTTAAATTTTCCATAACATATGTATTTCAACCTTTTTCTTTTTATGTTGGTCCTCGATAATTTTTGAAAGTTCGAAATTTTTGCGTGATTCTCCAAAATCTACATGTTTTCGGATATTCAACTTACTATTTTTTTTTGAACTCAAGGTCGTAACTTCAACACAGAACATATATAAAAATAAAGGTGTTGCGCCATTTCCGTCACAATAAAAACAATAGTTGAATCAAATGGATTCACAATTATAACGAGAATTCAATTTTTGTTTTTATGTGATAATTTTTGGCAGAAATCTAAATGTTATGAAATGTTTAAATGTCGCCATTTCTCAGGTGCGGTCAACAATAATTTGAGTTATTTTCAGAGTCAACCCCCTTATGGACACTGATCCGAAAATCGCATTTTTAATAGCTGAAATAGGTTATTTACATCCATTGTTAAAGAATGATGTAGTTTATCCTCATTTTTTCGCTCGGGAGATGGAAAAAGATGCACTTGAAATAAGAATTAATTTTTATTCTGGATACGAATTGAAGGCGTGACCATACATTTCATGCCAAATTGTTGGCGTCAAAAAATTACAAAACATCCAGAATATTCTTTTTGGAAGGCATATATTATAGTTATTTTGTCGAAATAAACATTTTGGAAAATATCCTATTATAATTCATTTTCCAACGTCTGAGTCGCACGAACCTTCTCTAGCTCAATGAACTTTTAATTTGGGACGTGAGAATTTGGAAAAATAAAGATATACCAGTTGGTATACACATTTATATAAATTGACAATACTCCACCTACATTACCGAGTAATAATAATAATAATTGTCTTTACTGTGTTTTCTCACACGAACATCGCAAGCTTGCACCGTAAGTTTACGCTACATCAACCACCCAACGTTAATTTTTTCATCCGTAAAAAGTAGGTCTGCCAATATCTCACTGTAAAGTAGATACGTTTTGGTATGATAATCTCATAAAAACCATATTGGAATCGTATTGCCACGATGGTATTGAACAGAATGATAAAAATAACCGAATTTGTTGTGATGATATGTGGGAGAATAAGTATGAAGAAGTGTGTCAATCGATTGACGATGATTGTTAGGTATTCGTGTGGTTTGTGGCGGATTAAAAAGCCTTTGATTAAGTGGGCTTTTCGCATAAGTATCTGTCATTTTTTGTTTCAGATATTGAAGCTGAATGCCAAGATGATTACATGAAGATACGAGTGGGCTTTAACGGTACATTCACTGGTTTAGTTTATTCAGCTGGTAAGTTGACAACGTATCACTTTGCTAGATAAATTGTAGCATCCATACCACATACATCTTGGTACATGAATAGGTGGTTCGATTCAATCTTGCTTGCAGTTCGTGTAACATTCTTCTGTGGTCACGTCAAAAAATTATTACACACCTGTTTCAAAGTTAAAATATACTTATCTATACATTTTATGCATAATATATAAGAGTTTTTGAAAATAAACGCTAAAAGCTTCGATGAATCGTATGTTTGTTGTATTAAAAGTTAGAAAAGCAAGATAAGTTATTAGCGTGACAAGATTTGTTCATTTCCTTGAGATTATTTAATGTTTCACAACTTACTTAGAAAATGCTAAGAAGAACAGGCAAAATCGATCATTGTAAAATTCATCTACTCCTACCTGACAGTGGCTGATCTGTGGATATATTTTGCCATCTTAATATTATTATCAGAGTTCGCTGTACTTTAAGGTTCCCACCTTTTTTATTACTTTACCAGTTCCCATTCAAAGTAATTTTGTTTTCGTTCTCATCCAAGGTTTAAATGTAATCTTTGATAGCCCCCTGTAAGCACAAGCGACATTGCTTAGAGGATATCTATTACATAATAGCATTTTTCAGGATATGCGTATGATCCTGATTGTCTGTATATAAACGGATCTGGCAGAGATTATTACGAATTTTATATTCAGCTAAATCGTTGTGGAACATTAGGAAAAAATACGCACAATGAAGATAGTCGAAAAAATCCAACGGTACGTAATCTAGCATCTTTTGCAAATGAATACCAACTGCCCGGGTAGCTCAGTCGGTAGAGCATTGGACTTTTAATCCAAGGGTCCAGGGTTCAAGTCCCTGCTCGGGCGAGTTTTTTTATGCTTTTTCTTTATATTTTTTTTTCAGAAAAACTTTATGTGGAATACAGTTACAGTTCAGTATAATCCATTAATAGAAGAAGAATTCGATGAACATTTTAAAGTCACATGTGAATATGGTTACGATTTCTGGAAAACGGTGACGTTTCCTTTTTTAGACATTGAGTAAGTATGATTTTATATTTCATTCTGATCATTTAGCTTTTTTAGAGAATATACACGTGATTTAGTTTTTAGAACAGGAGCAAGTAGCAGTGCTTTTTTTTCGTTGATATTGCAGTGATATTTAATAATTGATTTCTGAGCCAATAGCAATTACATTTTTCTAAAGTTGATGCTCTCTGCATTACAGAGTGGCAACAGGAAACCCAGTGGTCTTCACTTTAACTCCTCCAGAATGTTACATGGAAATAAGATATGGCTATGGCACAACAGGCAACAGAGTTTCTGGTCCAGTGAGAGTTGGAGACCCTCTGACACTGATGATCTACATGCGTAGCAAATACGGTAATTTATTCTCCTCCATCACTTTTTTATCATGAATACTCAAAAGTCGGGTTTATGACTTTAATTTGTATATCTTTCGTAAGCATATGTAACTTAATCGTGAGCTGATAGAAAATTTATACAACCGTTTGAGTCGTTTTTTCTCTTGTATTTAATTCAGTTCATACTTCTGAAACATGGAATTGCACACAGAGACCAAACCCCTTTGTTCTTTGGTAAATAAAAATATTATTTTTTCCAGACGGCTTCGATATTGTGGTGAACGACTGTTATGCGCATAATGGAGCTACGAAGAAAATTCAACTAATTGATGAATACGGGTATGAATCTGTTCAATAATTTTATACTGTATTTATCTGACAACAAATTACGATACCGGTGAATCTGAAGCTAACTTCAGAGGGACTAGCAGTATATTGCAATTTTTAAGTGTTGCAGGTATCTCTATGATGATTTTTGATCATATCACATTTGCAGCCCGAGAATAGCTCTTTTCAACTAGCCCAAGTTTGTTGAAATCGGCTTAGCCGTTTGGAAAATTCAAGGTGTTTTTTACGGAAACCTTTGAATACCCCCCACCACATTATTTTTATAGATACAGCAAAAATTGTCAAACAAAAAAATTTCACATTATCCTCAACTTTAAAGACCAGGTTTTTTTGTTAGGAATATAGCGGAATTCGCAGAAACATCACCTTTTTAGTTTCAAGATTGCAGTTACGCCCCCTAGCGGCCCTTTCAGAAACTTGAAAATACTTTCCAGTTTTTTAGTAAAAACTTTTTCTGCCGCAAGCCTCTACGATGGATAGGTTCCCAGATTCAGTACCGCGCATTCCTAGTTGACCATCCTGTACATATAAAGGTTATATGGTAATAGTACACACAAATGTATAGTGTCAAGTTACTCAGGGTGTTCAGAAATATTTCTAGGGTAGAACGTACATCCAAAAAATGACAAAAAAAGTTCCGACAATTATGGGTCCACAGATGCTCCCCTGAGAAACTTCAAAACAAAGAAACCTTTTATCTCAAATATAAATAAAGATAATAAGAATTAAACACGACAACAATAAACACTACATTTGATACAACTTATTTCTAAACATATGAGGAGATAACATTGAGAACAAAAAATAATGCTGAATAAATGCTATAACATCCAACCTAGAGGAGGTGTTGAAAGTGACCACCTCTGGATTCAACACAAGCCCGTGCTCTGCCTCACGAAGGCTCCCTGACTCACTGGAATATACCTGGCGTAGTTCGAACAATGTTGAAAGACTTCAGTATACTTCGTCCTCATACTTCCTCTCCGAGGTTGCTAACGATTTGTGATATCTTCTTTGTTGAGCTAACTTAATCCGAAATGCTAAACAATTTTGAGAAATAATTTTAATCAAATGAAAACCAGTGGTGTGCAAAGACAAGGTTTAATGAATGGTAAGCTCCTACGCTACCGATTGAGGATAAGACACGCATATTAATGTTGTAATGAGCTGCCATTATGTGTGTTTATTGCTGATGAACGTCTAAAATCATAACTCGGTATCTTTACTCGCTCCGTGGATATATTCTTTTTTAAATTTTGTTAATAAAACTTCATCACCCTGTATCTCGGTAGGGGAGCATCTTTAGATTCATATTTATAGGAACTTTTTTTGGATGAAAAATATTGTGTACTTTGACGTTTTTTAGCACGATAATGGCTTACTCCATATAACAGGAATGAACTAGCCCCGAGGCACTGATACAGTTGTTCCGCATTCATTAAAATTTGGTTAAGAAATATGTTTTAGCGCAGAGTTGTTGAAGGCCTTATATCTTCAAAAAGGGGTGACATGTTACAGGAACTGAAGAATTGTCTACTGTCTGATGATTGTCCACAAGTCCAAATACGTAGTCTAGCACAACCTGGTATCAGGCAGTTTTGCTCAGCATTTATTTTCCAGGTGTCCTGTAGATGACAAGTTGATATCAAGATTTCGAGGATCGTGGTCCGAATCGGGACTTTTCGAAACACAAGTTTTCGCCTACATGAAAACATTCAGGTTCACAGGATCTCCAGCGTTGTATATCGAGTGTGACGTCAGAATGTGTCATGGGCGATGTCCGGTAAGTAGGCGCCATAAGCATTCTTTTCAACCCAGTTAATAACTCCGAGCTGCTGATAAAATATACTACTTGATCGTGTACTAAAAAGGGAGATGCGTCAGTACTATTTTTTTAGAACTTGTAAACTAGTAACAATCGTTTACAATATCTAAAGAAACTTTCATGTTTTTTGTCCAATGACTTATGATACAAACCAGCAACTGTATAAGATTTAATATATTTTATGTTCCCTCTAACGTTTATTTACAGAATCAACCGTGTCATTGGAGGAACGTGAAGAATGTAAGGAAAAGATCCATCGAGAGCCAAACCTCAACAACTATAGCTCCTAAAATAGCTCCCTTATCAGAAAATGTCAACCTTTTCCAGTCCCTTCGGGTACTACAGGAGGGAGAGACTGATGAAGAGAAAAACGTTACAATTACGAGTGAGTAAAGCATAAAAGATCCGGTGGATGGATTTAAAAACAGAGTTTGGAATAAAATGTTGTATACGAGATATCTATGGGGTCCGGAATAAACCGCACACTTTCTTGATAAGTTGGGCAGCAGGATGCATGGCTCCTAGTAAAAATGTGACGATTCCGTGAAGAGACACGTTCAAGTCGAAAGATCACGTAATGTTCAAAGTCATGATCACTCACCCCACTAATAACAATAGTATCGATAACAGCAAAAAACTGACAGCAGATTCATGATCTAATTTATTCAATAAACAAAATAAGTGTTCGTTTTCATTGCAAATAGATACGAATGCATCAATGGTGTCCCTTTAGAACTTTAACAATTTACCACAAACAATTTTCACCTTTTCTCTGTTCCCAAAAGTGAACGAAACCCAGTACTCTGTGGTAATTTGAGACGCTGCTTCCAAATATAGTCATCAAAAAATCCTTCATGGAACAGGAAAAAAGGACTTTCCGATGAGTTCAGCGAAAAGCAGACGGTAGACTCACGATCTGCTGTCAATTTACCCATGAAACAAGTTTCTGTCTAGAATGCAAGCTCACAAGAGTTTTGACTACTTTCATCGTAAAAGTTTAAAAATTCACCGCGCAAAATTTTCATTTTCGCTCTCCGTGTTTACAAGTCAAGGACACTCGGTACGCTGGATTAATTTAGGAGACGCTGATTCCAAATGTGGTATTTGCTTTCTTTTTTCACATTCACATCCTTGTGTAAAAAAATAAAGAGACCTTCTGGCACGCTCAGTTTAGGTTAAAGAGCACACAGCAGCGAGCCCGAGAATGATTCTTTTGAAAACCAGGTGTGTAACAACCGCCGCATCATTGATATGGGGCTCCCAGATTACAGGGGTTCCGGCTAGTGAGAGACAAAATGGATAAGAGTTATCCACAATCTCGCGTCGCTTTTTAGGCCGTACGTCAAAATATAAATTTTCAAGTGCTAAATCCTTAGATCGCATGGCTAGGTGCATTATAATAACATGCTTCTCATTTTTGAACTTCCAAATTACAACCGCAACAGTTGAAATATGCTATTTGAATTGAAAATATGAATTATCTTAGGAGTTCTATGAGACAATAGTGACTATTAGACATGATACTGTCTTCAGAGGCAGAATATGTCGGAATAATAGAATCGTCTTCATCTATGGATGATTGACTAAAAAAGCATCAATTAGACTGTCTTTGTACTTCCCAAGAATTCAAATTGGGTATTTTCAAACTTTACATCATTTTTAATTTTTCTGCAAAAAATCGCAAATTTTGCCCAATGGGATTCGTCACAATTGGATGTGCCCCAGACAAATTTTGATACGACCGACTACCATGAAGAACTGGATGGAAGTTCATTTGAACGATGGTTTGAAGAAACGCTCCCAAAGCTTGACGACAATGCCGCCATTGAACTTGATAATGCTGCATACCACACTAGAAAGCTGAAAAAACCCACAATGTCCACAAGAGAGGCAGAAATTCAACAATGGCTCCTATCAAAAGACATTAGTTTCAATTAAAATGTGGTCAAAGCAGAACTTATGACGAAATGGCTAAAAACCAAAATAAGACCGTTTCAAGGCTAACCCCTTGTCACTGCGAATTAAATCCCATTGAAATGATTTGGGCAAATATAAAAAAACTGTGTGGCTTCAAACAATAAAACATTCAAATTTTCTGTCGTGAAAAATTGGTTTTATGATTTATGAAGCTGTCAACAGAGTGACGGCAAATGGAATGATTGCATCCGTCACGTTCAAGAGACAATCGAAACAAAGATGTGGGATCAGTATTCAAACATGTAATAATTAATATTAACCATTCGGACTATGATTCAAGTACTTCCAGCGAATAAATAATTGTGAAAAGTATGTGCACTTCTTTCTTTAAGAATAATCATTTATTTTGTTTGGATTATTCCAAGACCATTGAAGAAAATACGGACCTGTACAATCTCGCTTTTGGGCATGTTGTATTTTGTCTGGGCGTAAATGGACTACGAATGGGGTGTAGTAAAACTTGTTTGTAGCGTTTTGTTTGTAGTATGCAAATGAACTTTTCTTTTAACAAGTACAAAATGACTCTGTAGTTTACAAAAAAATTAAAACAAAATATGACTCTCTCTACCTGGCATTGACGGATCCGTCAGTATTATGTGTCCTTTGCGGACATGGTGAAAAAGACTATACGCTGCTGCAATAACCTAATCTCGTTAAAACCAGTCAATGTGAAAGTATCTTCCGATAAGAAAATACAATAAACCTATTTTGTTACAGGTGCTTTCACAGACCCAGGCAACGTCTGCTTAAAAACAGGCTGGTTCTCAGCGTTGCTAGCCATGGGTGGTGGCATAATGTGCCTGCTGAGCGGAGCCCTACTGGCCACGTGCAGTCGAATGCGCAAAGTTGCCATAGACAAGGTACTTGCAACCAGTCAGTTCAACGGCTACATGAACCACAGAGGAAGTATCAACTGAACTCGAAATATCAACGAACATATGTGAAGTGTCATCGAAAATATAGACTGTAACGTGAAGAAGTGGATATTTCAAAATCTCCTATGACTTGAATTGTCATAAGTGTATGTAGGTGTCTGGGCTTACTTAACAGGACGACCCGTATCATCAAAATTTGTCATTAAAATTGGGATATCTAGGAGTATATATTACAAAATGATTTTTTTAGATTAGCATTTTGCGATGAAATTTGGCTTCTAGATACGTTACATTACCCAAAAATCTGTATTACTGTGAAAATGCACAGCTTCTATATTTCTGCAATGCTGGGCGCAAGTACCACTCGAAAAAGAATGGTTGTGCAAAAATCAAATTTTAACAGATACATACCTCAAAAGATATTTAATAAACTTGTCAAAAATTTTATAAAAAACATCTACCAATATTATTTTAGTAAGTTCAAGCTGTCTTTAAGTTACTTATAGCAGCCGCGTTGCCCTGGTATTTAGGCTACGCGACTACATCAGTATAAAAAATCAGTGTTCTGGTTTGAAAGAACATCCTCTGGATAAAATTTCAATTTTTGAATCTGAGAAGCCACAGAATATGCTTTGTTCATATTAAATAATATGAGGGAATAATAATATAGAATGTTTCCATTATTTTCTAGATTTTAAATGTTCACACACAAGGAGAATTTGATAAATTTGGCATTTATAATTTATTACTTTAACCTTTTTTTAGCGACCACTATTCAGTCATCTTCTCCTGTATGTGAATTTTAGGGATGCTTTGTACAAATTGTGTGTATTCTATAAGCTAGTTTTGTATGAAGCATCTGCTACATCTGTAAATAAATAAGTACTCTGTCATTTTAATTTATGTAATAGTTACTGAATAAATTATTACAAAGCATAATTATTGTTTTCTTTCACATGTATTTCATTTGCGATTAAGCATTTTAGAATCTGTATCCAGTAGCAGACCTAAGATCTCTGGGGCTTGAAGTATGGTGATAATTGAATTGAGATGGGGTCAGAAGCATAATGATCCTTTCAAAAAATCATTAGTTATTTTCTACTGCAAAGTCCCTGGGCCCACTCAGGTCCAGTGCCCAATGCACAACGCATCATCTTAGATCTGCTTCTGGCTGTATACAATGTGAATATGGTTTTAATGGTAATGACAATGTTCTTCATTTCTGCATTCCACAATCAGTTCAGTGTTATTGTCACATTCTGATTCAATAAGGCATTTACTGATGTAATATGTTTAACATTTATTTATTCTTTAATTTCTTATGAATAATCCTATAGTATATAAACAGATATCCTTACAAATTACATAAAAATCTAAAACAGACCTAGGCAGCATTATGTAAAACCTTATTAAAAGCAGCATAAGAGCTCTCCAAATCAAACAACAATTGTCTCACTTGTGACTCTGACAATTCATCTGATGCCTGCATTGAGTTTAGAGTTGCCAACCACTCACCAACTTTCTGCTTCCCTTCAAAATCAGATGGAAGAATACTCAATCTAGAAGAGAGAAAGAAACAAAATATAACAAATAAAAAAATATAATACAGAGTAAATTATTAATTCATAGCATTCAGTAACTTGCTATTCTTACCTGTTCATTGTGTCTACTAAATCCCTTAGCTCAGGATGAAGATCATCCATTGCACGTATATCCAAACGAAGTTTATCCATAATTGTGATGAACAGAGATACAATGTCAGCAATACATCTGCTCGTATTGCCTTTGTCATCTTTTATTGTGATGGGCCTATCTTCTTTTATTCTTTCTAAGGCTGCTGGACAATCCAACTGAAATATTCATATGACTATACCTTATACTAGTATCAATACTATTATTATAAACTAACAACCATATTTATACCTAACAGTAAGTATACTATTTACCATACTACAACATGTACTGACACATATCCTAGATTCCACTTGTGTCAATTTTGTACTATGAGGAACAGGGAGCCTGTTGAATTTCAGTAGCACATCAGAATTATTTCCACCAATCTGGTGTGCAAAACAAATCACACAAAAGTATCATTACAGTGGGGGAACACATGGAAGGCTGTGAACTCCCCCCATCCAGGAATCTGGTTGGCCTTTGTTTCCATAACAAATTTGCTACCTTGTTCCTTCCCTCTTTTGTAGATACACCTTCCCAAAAAGTTATCTCCTGCCAATGATTGGTCTCCTCTGGTAAAAATATTTGTGGGCCTCCGTAGGAAGGAGTAGAAGGTAATAAATGATAGAGAGAAACTTTTCTTACCCTAAACTTCCTAACAAAGGCATCAACAGACGGAAATTCATCTCCTTTAACTTGTCGAAAGGCTGCCTTGAACTGTACCAATAATTTGCTACATGCACCAGTGTATTCTTTTGGAGTAACACAGTCTCTGATGTAGGCCTTCTCTAACTGTTGCAGTGTATTAATAACTGCATATAAATCTGCCATATTATCGTACCTTCAAAAAAGTAATGTTGCATTTTAGATGAATGAATACATGGGAATCAACTATGAAACATACTTTTCTCTTTCCCTCGCATTGTTATACAGTTTGACTTCTTCGTACAGTTCTGGACGATTATCTAGAAATAAATCGATTTAAATCAAAGCAACAAAAGAATTGTAGTACCCACCTTGTGATGCAGTCATGTTTCAATAAAAAACCTCAAACTTATTCACTGATAATAACAGTAATCGTTGTTAAACTATAATACACTGCAGATAACGTCTGATATCAACAAATCGAGAAAACTCTCAGTTGAAGTTGAATACAAATACAGACTTGACATCACATCACACTTACAGGTTGAGTCATAAATAACAATCACAAAAATATTTTTTTCTGTGAAAATGACAAGTGGACAGCTGTCTCAGACAGCTGTTAGAATCAAAATATAGAACTAAACCGTTAGTCAATTATTGCATAGTTTGCTAGGATTGCGATGTGCTGCGACGATTTAAAAGCAAGCAACAACAACAGGTGTGCTTTTGGTACTTTTTCTCCACTCGGACCGTGCTTTTTAACTTCTTCAAGTTAACTGTATAAAAAATGTCACCTTAAAGACAGAAGTATCAAAAAAATAAAAAAGGTTGCCTCAATCGGCATATGAATTTTGATTCATCACACAAGACACAAGATAATTTTGACGTGACGGTGACATATGACATGTGTCATGCCTAATGACTAATGTCGTTGAACAATACAAAAATTGGAAATACTGGTCAAAAATAATTAACAAGAGCTTTTCTATAATATTACAGTAATTATTCTTCAAGAATATGCTTAATGCAGGGCAGTATATGAAAGATAATACGTTGCACGCATTACAGTGAAAGAACGAGTAGTAGATTTTTTCTGGTATTGAAAGGCAACTTAATTATGATGTTTTGGGTAATGTAATTATCTCCGATTAAAAGGTAAGAAATATATTGAAAGAGAAATTAAAATTATGTTACCATCGTCAAACGCTTCAAGTTTTTCTTCATTTCTAGATGTGCTCCACAATCGAGGACAATGACGATACCATAGTAGCAAAGTTTAAGAAAGATTATACTGAACAGTTTTATATTCTGATTCGAATGCACTTGTCTTTTCTACTAGACTTGAATACAAACGAGTAGGTATTTATTTGGTGGTCTGAATAATGTTGAAAAAGTATATTATTCACTTGAAATCATTACCAGTAGTCAGTCAAAATAATTATAGAATCAAGATGGTTTAGTAGACTTACAGCTGATTATCTGTAAAGCTGACAGCACCTTCAGGGGGCAAGAGGCTACACAAAAAACATATCTTTCTATAATATATAAGAGGCTAGAAAGATGTCCAGTGTGCTTGCTGTATGTATGACCTTGCAGAAGTAAGATTATATTCATAAATTTTAATGCCATCTGATGCTTCTATTGCAGAAATGATTGTATGTTTGACAGAGCAAGAATAAAAAAATGGCATCTGGTTCCATTTGCAAAAAAATCAAAAACTAAAACTGTGATCAATGGAGTTCCACTAAGTCAAGAAAATGTATGCCAAATGCATGTTTTGATAGAATTCTTAAAAAATGAAGAGCGTAAGTAACATTACTGTTGTAATTAATTAAATCTAATGATGAGGGATGTACCAGGTACTATTTTTTTCAAAAAGCTAGGTAGGAGTTACTTGGTCAGCTTCAAATACCAAGTACTGGGTACTTGGCCAGGTGCTCAGTGGAGTTGGCTCAGGCTATTTTAGCTACTGTTAGTGCTATTAAGATATTTGCATTTTTGAAAGGTTTCTCTATTCTCAAAATTATTTACATTTCTAAGAAATTAATGCACCACAAAAAACTAGAGAGAGAAGCACAAGAAGTGTGCAATATGTGTGTTAGAAACAGATAGAAGCACATGGTTGCATATCAACCCGAGTGACAAATCTACAGATGCCATCAGTGCACTCTTTCCAACATACCTATTTGATGCTTCACAATGTCAGCTAAATTTGAAACTCACCATATGTTTGTCACCATGCAATTCAGTAAACTACAATTTTGAGTTAAGATTGAAATCATATTTTGACAAAGGATATTCAAATCTTCTTAAACCTTTTTTTTTTGTTGAAGGTAGGTAATGCAAGGCCACAAACAAAAAATAACTATAAGAATTGCTGCCATTAAATTAAAATCTTCTAGGTTTCTGAACCCTTTCGGAGAGGATTACAAAAGAAACTGAACTGGTGATTTGAGAAAGGCTAAACCTGAATTAGCCTTACATATGAGTAAAGGTTTTCTTTTGCGAAAACTTGAGATTTTCGTTATTCACATTGTTTTTCGACTTTACTGTGTTATCTGGTTTTTGTTGTTAAAAACAATTTACTGAGAGATCATCCATAATAGTTCCCTAATTATGGCGAACATCTGCTGTGATCTTAACTACTTGGTGCACTAATTTCTTGAAGAACACACCAGGAAGGTTTGGAAAAGGAATGTGAGCTCAAATTTTGCACTGCAATAACTTGATTTACACAAGTACATACACGTTGCATTCAGACTGAGTAAATTACCAGTAGGGTTATTATGTAAAAAAAATCGGGAAAATGTCAATTTGTGCACTAGGTTGCTGCTAGAGTGCAGCTATAGTTCATTCCGAGACTACTACAAGTGAGCATAAAGTGAATGTCATCTAGTTCAAAACCGGATACATACTCGGCAAAATGCCGGGTGCAAACTTGGTGCATCCCTACATATGACATCAGGTAATGTCTAGAGCAGACTTAACTTATTATATCAAACCAATTGCAGATCTTAAAAATGAAGGAATCTTTCGAAGGACAGGTTCATTAGAAAGGCAGCAAGAATTAAAACGACTGATAAGCAACGGCATGGCTGTGACTTTAGAATCTGGAACATATAATGTGCATGATTGTGCATCGGTCCTGAAGAGTTTTTTAGCAGAATTGGTAGAACCACTTTTGACAGATGCACACTTCCCAACATATTGCCAGATTTCAGGTACACAGATGGCATATTGAATTTTTGCACAACTTTGAGTGATCAATGCAATGTCATACTGCTGTACTGCTGACTCATGCAAATTCAATGGGCTATTTCCATACATTAATTAGGTTTGATGACATTTTTTAGAGTCAGGCAACTACAACTTAACTTTAAATAAGTGTGACATGCTTGTTAGTCATCATGTAGAGATGAAAAATGAAATAGCATTGTAAATTTTATCTAAATTGTGTTGCAGTATTTGCCCTATATTCAGTAATGGACAAAAGTATATAGACAAGTATGAATATTTACCTAAATACCTTTAGTAAACAAATTCATAACTTCATTGCTCCATAAACAAATGTGTTATTAGTTGAACAACTAAATTCCTTGTTTTTACATTATCTGCAATGAACACAATAGAAGTCTGAATATAAGCACTATTTTATGAGGGACAAAAATATGTAGACAAATCCTTTTCAACATTAGTTTAGTACAGTTTCGTGTCAGAAGAGGATTAGTTTGTGTTCATCAAGTATTGTGGAATAAAATGAGTGATTTTAAGACCATGCCGAGTGGTCCAGAAATTTCTTTCGATGTGAAAACTAAGATCATTGAGTTATACAAAGATGGTCAATGTCATGTCGACATTGCAAAAAATTTGAAGCTGAAGTGTAAAGCAGTTTGGGCAATATTGATCAAATATAAACAAAAAGGTATCTTGGAAGCCTCTAACAGAAGTGGTCGGCCTAGAAAATTAAATGCTAGATCAGTTAGATTAATAAAAGTAATTAATAATTAAATGTTTCTTTTGTAATTCTAACAGATAGCACATGAACATTTTTTTGCAAAACTTTTGCCTCCTTTTTAGTTCACGGGGCTGAAAACAATGTTTTCTGTTAGGCCATCATATGGATCAGACAGCATGTTTATTCAGCTTCAATGTCCTGTTTGTAAAATCTCGATACGATCATTTGGCGCGTAGATATTTAATTTTGAATGAAAACGACTCTTTTTGTCATCGACCACTGGTATATGACCAATGATCGCACGTGGAATGAAAGTGTATTTCCGAAAACTGGAATGGATCTACTATAAGATTTGATTGCAATTTTTGAGGAAATTTTCCTTAGTGTTGGTTTCAAAACAGTTACTTTTTGCCTTTGGAAAATCGACCGATTTTTGGGACTGCTGATATTTTTAAGTTTCAGATCAATCTAATGTACGGTTTCTCCGAACCGATTGGTGAAAATTTTAAAGAAATCTGGTTGTTAAAATGGAACAATCATTTGTTGTCTCTATTATCAGTAAAACCTTCAATTTTAAAAAAAGAAACTGGAAACACATTTTATCTTTTTATTTATGGAATATTACAAAAAACAAAGGCGGATTTAAGAATTTGTCAGTCCGGAGAAACCGAACAATGGATCTATCTGCCATCGTGCAGGGTTATTAGAGAAGAGGTACTTTGAGGTATGAGAATACATAAAAATATTAGGCTTATTAGCAGTCACAGAAATGCGGTCGATTTTCCAAAATAAGGCAAAAAGTATGTTTTTTTTCTAAAATAATACTCAGGAAACGAAAAAAAAATTATGCAAATATTGCAATCAAATCTCGTAGGAGTTTTTTTTAGTTTCTGGAAATACCCTTAAATTCTCTGTGTGATCACTGGTTACCGAGATATCAGTGGTCAATGGCAAAAGGATTCTTTTTCATTCAAAGTCGGATATCTCTGCGCCAAATCATTGTATCGGAATTTCAAAAACAGGATATTGAAGCTGAATGAACGGGCTATCTGATCAGTTTGATGGCCTAACAGGAAAAAATCATTTTCTTGTTGTAATTGGATGAGAATTGCTGCTCCTAAAATGTTTTGGCTAAAAACCTGAAAACTAGAATTTTGAAGCTTCAAAAGGCTTTTTCTTAAAGTCTAGGTACGACCAAAATTGTTTTTCTTGAGTAATCTATAATGTTGTTCCAGAAACTTATGGCACAAACTATAGTGCCAGAGAGGCAAAGCTTTTGGAAATCCTACAACTGCTTGTGCTTTTATTACCCCCTGAAAACAGGGAACTTTTAGGAGAAATATTAAGCCTGCTGAATTTGACAGCATCATTTCAAAGCTACAATAAAATGGACACTGACAATTTAGCGAAACTGTTCATGCCACATCTTTTGTGTCCAAGAAATTTATCTCCTGAGGTGAGTTATTTTATAGACTGGTTTTAAAGTGCTTATAAGTGGGCAATGTGTGGCAATATGGCATTATATAGCTGCAATAGCCTGGCTAATGTAATATAAGCTGCCACATTACAGTTTTGTAAGCTGTGCCTGTCCGACTTCTTGATATAGATTGTAGTTTGTACATGTCCCAGAATATTTGAGCAATTATTTCATTTATCTAGAACATACAAATATAGTTTTATAGGACTATATGAATATATCAACTTACAGACTGACGTACTAAGTTACAGTTTTTGTCTGCATACTTGCTTTTGTAAAAATGTATTTTTCATAGTAATATGTGTTTCAGGTGTTGTTAAAAGGTTCTCAGAAGTTATTTGGAATAATCAGTTTTATGATTAAGAAAGCTTCAGAATTGTTCAAAGTGCCACAAAAGTTAGTGTTAGATTTTAGAGCAAAATATGAAAAGAAGAAAGTATTATCACCCACTAAGAGGTATGTAATATATGAAAATTTTGCAACAGTTTATCGCAAGGATCATAAGCGATTTTAGTAAATGAAGTCTTAAAGTTGTACATAGAATGTGTATATAGGTAAATAAAGTTTTTGATATTTTATTTTTTAAATTATTTACATTAATTCATATCAAGTGCCATAATGTTTACTTTTTTTTACATGTGAAAAGACTGAATGAAAGTATTAGTGATACCGCAAGTACCGTTTTTACATTTGTGGATCAAGAAAGGACTGCCAAAGAGAATGAGTCAAATCCAACTGAGACAGCTTTAGCTCAGCTCTATGCCCATATACAGGTAAGCAAATTTCCAATCAAGAATATTCAGTTGAGATGTAATGGTTAATGAAGGACAGCAATTGACATAAATCTTCAACAGTGTTGAACCTAAATGCAAGAGAGTGACTGCCAGTTCTGGTCACTATAACCATACCAGAACTCAATCATGCAAACTGTCAATATTTTATAGGGCACATGATGTCGCACTGTTCAGTTATGACATGCTGTATTGGTCCAAAAAATTTATCAAAGATTTCACGAGAACACAATTGAAATACTATGCTTTTATAGATTGACACTTTTCCATTTCAGAGCTTACCTGAGTCATCTAAGAAACGTAAGTTAGTTAAACAGTTCAACAAGGAGAATGGAAATGGAACCCCATGCCAAATACTAAGGAGCTGTGCTCAGACCAAAAACAGAAGTCTAGGCGACGTTATAAAAAGACGAATCTTTCAGAAGAACTTGGCTAATAAAAGAGAGCTCATGTTTAGGTGTTCTAGCAGCTATGAAATTCCCCAAGTGAGTACATCCATTCTATTAAGATATCCAAAAAACACGGTTATTTTCAAATGTACATTAAGTTATTGAATTTCGAGGTCTTAGGAGGTTATACAAGTGTATAGTTGCAAAGTCATGAATGATGTTTAAATGTCTAAAATTAGTAATGTTTTATTCTCCAAAACCAGTTTCCTTCAAACTAATGCAAAACAAATGGCCCATACTTTACGCTGCTTCCTAGGGGTGGAGCCGCGGGTTCAGGCTGGTTTATTACGAAAAGCAGATTTGGGCTAAAGTTGGATTTTTAGTTGTTTACCTTATCTAAAAAATAAAATCAACAAAAATATCATCAGAGTACTTTTTTCACAGTATTTTGGCTGAGGTACCCACTCAGACGCCACTGGTTCTTATAACTTGAATCTAGTTCGAGTTAAAGAAGTATCTTATTACTTCATATAATTGCAGCAAGTTTCGACCAAATGATGCTGATGATGATAAATGCCGTTTTGTCAGAAACAAAGCAATTTCGGACATACATATGTTCATAGGAAATTTTTTGAAGTTTCGTACTGTAGTTAGGAAACAGAGATAGACATGTTTTTGTTACTCCAAATGTATTGCAGAGTCCACCAGAACCATCCCCTTATTCCAAAACTAAAGGGTTGCTTTTCTGTCACAGAAGTTACGATTCTAGTGAAGATTTGAGTGCAAAGGAAAGCCCAGCAAAAAAACTGAAGCAGTCCCGTTTGAGCGAGGAAAGTTCGGAGTCGGAAGGTGAGAAATATATTTTTGTATACGAGGGTTGTTTCAAAAATGGGGTCCCAAAGCTGTAGCTTTGCCGCGCGTGATGCTAGGCGAAATCTGGCAACACCGCCGTGTTTGTCGGCTCCTTCACCACCGATCCTAACAAGAAGTGCCTATCTCCAGGTGCGAAATTCGCGAGGTCACTCGACTTTTGCACGCAAAAAAAGTTTTACCACCCATAGAAGTTCATCACCAGTTGAGTGAAGTGTATGGGAAAGCGTATATAAACATTCAACATGTTTAAAAATGGTGTAGAGACTGCTCCGACGGTCGCATGGACTTCCACGATGTACAATGGAACGGGAGTCAGTCGATCTCCAAGGAATTTGTGGCGAAGATTGAGGTTTCTGACAAACCTGAGACAGGCAATCCAAAATCGTCACAGCGATTTGGCTGGAGAAGTCTTTCCCCATCCCCCTACAGCCCTGACCTAGCACCTAGCGATTTCTATTTATTTCCCAAAGTGAAGGAGACCTAGGAGGTCAACGGTTCGAGACGGTCGAGGAGTTACAAAGTTTTTAAATGGGCTGACCGAGGACTTCTTTGAGGAGGGAGTGCAAAAGTGGATTACACGTCTGAAAAAATGCGCAGAAAAAAATGGCGACTATGTAGACAAGTAGCTTAAACATCAACGATTCCAATGATCAATTTGTTTTTCATTGTGCTTGAAAAAAAAGTGGGAACCTCAATTTTGAAACAGCCCTCGTATTTTGAGAACTGTTCCGGCAATTGGTTCTACTTTCAGAATTAATGAGGAAACGCAGCTTCTCAGAACCAAACTTAAGTTCTGATCCGCTCGATCCAGTTACATGCGTGACCAGTACACCGGCACCCGCTCGTATTAGAAACTGTGACATTTTTGCGACACCTGATGGGTACTGTAGAAGATCGATGTCTCCCATCACAAGGTCGACGCAGAGGATGAGCCAAACAATGCAGGTTGGTTATTTAAAGTTTTTATCCAAATCCAAGATAAAATGAAACATTCACGTGATCGTTTAACAACAGCTGGGCAGCACAGCACTCATTGGCGAATCCGATATCTATCGGTTGTCTGCTGAGCCAAGCATCAGCCCTTTACGTCCGCATCGCAACATTGCAACTATTTCATACTATACTTATTAGCTGCATTTTTCAGGCAAAACTGACAAACTAGTACATCGATTCGTAATTATGAAAATGTTTCACCGAGTTCTTTCCCAAAATGAATTTCTGATAGTCCGGCAGGGGTATTACTTATCTTCAAAAGTGACATTGTCGGTTTTTTGTGGCATTATGTAGATTCTTCTAGAAGATGACAACTTAGAACTAGCTGTTGTTCACTTGATGTGCATTCGATCTGTAGCTGTACGTGTTGCCTAAACATCATGACCCTTCAGCTATCAAAGTTTGGTTCTGATGTGATGTAACATCTACCTCAGAGATGGCATTGTTAAAGGTCTAGGCTCTAAGTTGTATACTATAGCTGGAAGGAAACGGCAGTGGCTAGGTACATAGTGAGTATTCGTGTGCTAATAGTCTGTGTTGATGATAATTCCCTTAGTTTCTGTACACTTACTTTAGATGTATGCTTCTTCCTGGAAATTACATATTTGCAAATTTCCTGAATGAAAATGATAGATGTAAAAAAAGAAAATCCCTGGTTGGTGAAGTTTATTACAACTAATAGGTGAGAAAATACGCTACAGACAGCAATATTTATAAAACGTCAAAAGGTTATTACATTTTGCACTATTTTTTTATATCCAGTCATTTAAATTGTATAGAAATTTATTTTTTGATGTCAAGTAGAAAATACAAATCAGTGTCTAGATGTGAGGCACTGCGAAAGTGTTTTGTGTCTGATGCGTCATTCCTAATTTTTCTGTGATGTGGCTTAATCACACACAAGCGGGCGCGGTGGTGATTTCGCGTAATGCGTAAAAAGCCAGGGAAAATTATAATTTATAACTGAAAAAAAACTCTCTTCAGAAAGGACAACACAAATAACCCGTCTGATACAGCTAATAGATATACTTCATGGGCAGCATATTCAGTAATAATTATCTCACATGGAAAATATCACTGATTTTGTACACATGCACACTAATAGAGACAATCATCCACATGCGATCTTGCTACTCTGTTCTCAACCAGTTTCCTTTCTGTTATATCTTCTCAGAGATACTTTCTTAGACTATCTCAGCATTCTACAACCAACAAAGCATGCTAGCGAACTGATTTCAGCTTGGTTGTTGAGTTATTCCTCCATATATGACGCTTTTGGTGACGCTCCCAGCGCTCATATCGAGCAAACGCGTAATGAACTATTTGCACTCTATGAACTATGTAGTTAGCAAGTTGACATTTTGTCGTTTTTTTTGACATCATATAGGTTTTTACATAATAACCATGCTGGACTGGTCATTTACAATGGACCACATTAGAGTAGCTCATAGCTTAGGCAAGATCATATCATGAACTTGTTTTGATGCTTGTGTCTGACAGTCTGTGGTAGCCAGAAATTGCTTGTTAGAAATAACCGACTAAGTAACAGTAGAGTATAAAATATGATCGCGAGAAAAACTTGAAACAGAACTATAGCATTTTTCATTCAGAGTACCCATGATTTGTTGTATCTGCGCTTAACCTTGACACAGACCATGGCGGAAATTGGCCGAACTAGTACGAATATCACGTTGTTTCATAACGGTCTCAAGTCAACCTTTTGAGTAATGGATGGCTGCAGTTCTACGTGGAACACCCTCAGTATATTTGTAAAATACCCTTAATTTTTAGGAATCCATGATGACACCTCGAAGTCGCAAGCCGGTCCTCTTACTATCAGGAACAAGTATATGTACCCTGCATGGCACAAAACGCTCAAACGAGATGTCAACGCTTTCCGAAAGTTCCGATAACCAATCAGTTGACAGATTGCCCCTCCTTAGAAGATCGTGGAGTGAGGGCGATGTTCACGAGGTATCAAAAGCTGATGAGATCATAGCAAAAGCTTCCTTATCAGAGGCATTTAAAGATTACCTGCACAGTCGAAATATGGAAGTTACATCTCCACAGTCTTCATTGAATGATTCTAGTTTTTCGAGTAGAGCAGATGATTTTAGTTACATGGAGATAAATGAGCTGCCCTCTAATGTAAATGGATCCTTATTGCAATGTCTGGATGGTAGTGACTTACAGAATAATAGTGGCTTGAACGTAGAAGCAGAGAAGAGTAAGGAGCCCGTCTTGAAACCTCGGCAATTTGACAAAGAAGGGAAACCGATTGTTTTTGAAACTTCGTTTTAGAATGGAAGCTTAGATGTTTTATACAAATATAGTCTATATTGATAATGGTTATTATTTTACTCTCTGCCAGTGGACAATAATAACGCATAGAACTTCAGGAATTTTTGTCCAAATGTCATGATAAGCAATGCTGCGTTCTATCTGCTGAGTAGAATAGGTTAATTAATGGTTACATGAGCGCTTGCAGGAATTTTTCTCAGGGGGATCATCAAGAGATAACTTTTTGTGACAGTGTACCTGCTCCCAAGACTAACCCTTTCACTAAAACTAGCATATAGGCCCTTATACGTCGATTTGTGAAAAACTACGCGAGGATTCTGTTTACAAAACTTGAACCTCCTGACTGGTCGGATTGGAAAGGGGCACTTCGTTGGATGATAAGGCGATAAAAACGTACACCAATCTTGAAAATCAAAATGTTTGCCACAATCAATGACTTCAAATAGTGTAGGATTCACACGTCAATTTTCCAATTAATCTCTCCAGTCATCCGGTACCTCAGTGTATGCTCGTTGGTTCACGAGACTCATATTTATATCACACTCTATGTATGAATGCCCCCTGATCGGGAATATTACTTTCACAGTAGTAAAACGATTTTTTTGGTAACCAAGTAATGCAAAAACCGAATAACTAAAGTTTTTATTTTGTGGATGTTAAAACTGATAAAATTTAGTTGCCGCTTATAGGAAACATCAATTGTTATAATATTTGGACAGGGCAAGTTGTTTTGGTAATCCATCGTGATACTTTCGATAGCGGGGAACTTTGAGGCACGTTTGCGGTAAGTTCTCTTTAGGCCTCTTGAACATGGCACGATTTCTTCATCGTACGGGGTGTTAGCCGTACGGTTAACAAAACTTGCAAGCTTGTACATGGCACGACAAAGCTACCGGTCGAGACAACGGCTAGGGGACCAGGCTCAGTTGAGATTTTTCTGCGGCAAGCTACAGACGACCTCGCCATGAATCCTCATAAGAAAAATATTATCCTTTCATATGTATATAGAAAACTCAAAAAGAAGAGAAAAGAAAAAGGTGTTGGATACATCCAATTTTAGAAAATGGGAGGAATTTGGCGCATTTCATAGAATCAACTACAAGTATCTTTTCGTGGATAACCAACGATACATTAAAGTTGTTTTCAAATATTTCTCGGAAGGATTCATAAGAAATCCTGTTCTCAACATTGTCAATAGAATATATTTTGTGTAATTTTGGGATATTTAGATTTTCAGGTAGGTAAACTTTTTGTGAATCTGCCAAAGAATAATGTGATTTGCAGCATTTAAGGCTCTTAATAAACTCGGCCACTTTCTGTTTTGGGTTTTCTGAAAGTTTGTGAAGTCGTGTGTTGTGTGTTTCACGCATATCGATGGGCGATTTCCCAGTTGCAACTAATTAGTCTTTTGTACTGAACTTGACGAAGTGTAATTCCGTGTAATAAAAAGTCCCGGAAAACTGGAACATCGGGTGTAATTCCATTTTCAACCAATTGGACACGATAAATAAATTAAATGAAGCATTATTAAGCCTAGACTCTGCTTCATTTTTTCGAGGGCGTCTGCGCATGACAGGAAGAACAGTTATAAGACCACTAAGATAAGCGTTTTGTGCATTAGTGTTTCCTAAGTCATTGAATTCACGAAGAAGTCTACAGCGTTCAGGTTCAAGAACTGTAGTAAAACAGCGAAAACGTCCTCAAAACAATCAGATCCAAGTTCGTGGGTAGTGACGCGCAACGTTTTCATTACGTCTCTTTGTCTTTCTGAGTTATTGGGTTTTTTTTTCTTGGTTTGATGGACCTGGTTCACTTGACACTGTATAGTTACTATCCATTATACACAGAACCCGTATTATAAACTAAATAATCGAATATAGTCAATAATCAAAATCTCCGCTTATACAACACACGTGGAGTCTAATAGTAAACTTATGGCTGATGCAATAACAGAGAGCCCAAGCGGTACAGCCGATGAAACCCCTGCTTTAGATATGGACTCATGCCGTTTTTTCATACACGCGCAGGGACTCATGCCATTCTTCCCAGGCATAGGGAATCTTATAGCTGTTGTTTCGTGGACCTAAACCGTTTTTACAATCTAATAAGCTGATTACAAGATAGCATCAGGAAAATGCACCAAAATAAACAGAAACCTCAATTCAGTCAAATAATGGACTAATGCCGTTTTGCCCCGGTACCCTTCAAATGGACTTGGAAGGAAAGCCACAACGTTGCCACATGGTCGGTAACTACCAGTAAAAAAGCAAATGAAAAATGCAAATCGGTAATACTACAATGTGGTTTCGGTTCAAGCTAAGAATGGCAGCTGCTCCATGGATAATACATTTTATGAAACATCATGTGGTAGGTAGTAACTGCTTGTATATAAAAAATAAACTGTGCAAATACTGTAAATACACTAGCTTACTGATGGAGAACTTGGTTGACATTTATTAAGAAATAATGCAAATCAATTAACTGATTCGGCATAAAGATGCTCAGAGTGCACATCAAAATGCAATTCATTGGCTTACACAAGTTACGTCTTGTGTTCAGACCGAGTAATTAGCCGGCCGTGTAATTCAATAAATAACCCTTTATTATTTTTGGAAATATAAAAAAAGTAATAATTCATCAGACTTGATCTATGCCATGCACGTTACACACACAAAGAAGGATAAAAACAAAATCTGTGGTTAAGAACACATTAGAATATGCGAGATAAAATATTGTTGAATTTATGAACATTACTGTAAAATTCTGAAACCTCATAAAAATTCATCTGGAGAGTAATAGTCGAAAACGGGTACTCGGTAAAATCGTTTGAGTATGCAGAAGACCTGATATAAACAAGAGTACTTGGCTCATCCCTACTTATGATAAAAGTATCTTTCAGAAAAATAGACTTATTATCTTAAATGTAATTTCTCTTCAGTTGAGATTACTAAGGTTTGTGAATGTGGGTCCAATTATGATTGAATTTAATTTATACAGGATGTCCCAAAAAATAGTGATAAACAGCACAGATGTAGATCACCCTATGAGAAGCCCAAATCACCAACATATTTTTTTTAGTTTAAAAGTTAAAATTTTTGGCTGTGACTTCCAATGAGCTTCCGATTATCTCTACGTTTTGGGACACCCTGTTATAAAGAAAAATAGAATTAGCTAAAAATAAATAGAAAAAATGTTTATGAAAAAACTCAATGATAAATATATAAACATTAGAAATGAGAGTAAATTAAAACATATCATCATGTGTCAAATCTGTTATTAAGTGAAGACCTCGTTCTTTCAGTGCTTTAGACAATAACTTCTGTTTTTCTTGCTTTTGCTCATGTTCTTTACGTTGAGCATCCAATATTTCATCTACTGATACTTCAATGAGTGGCAGATCTGTTTTTTCTGTGTCCTAAAATAATATCCTATATTATAACTTAATCTTCCAAAATTTAATTAAGATTCTGAGGCATTGCATACTAAAATCAGCTATTGGTGAAGTTTTAACTAGAGTTTGTAAAATATTAGGATGTGTATAATTTTTGACAGCATGAAGATAGATCAAATACTGTTAGTAAAAGCAATGTGTGCACCTCTAATTATTGTTTCAACCTAGGTGATTCTGTAACATGTTATTAAGGGTAGGTTAAAAAAGCATTTTCCACCAAACACATCCTATCTGACAAAAGGGGTTTTCTCAAAATTTCAACATGCACCTATATTATTAAAAGATGAATACACATTATTATTACTAATTAGGAATGCAAAGAGAAATCCTGATACACCTACAATTTCTCCTAGGAGTACTACATTCTCTCCTCTTACTATGAAGACTCCTCTTGGAATATCACCATATTCTCTTCCTACATGTATCCTTTCTATGGTTTGGTGCAGCACTAAATTGGCAAATTGGTCTACACTTCTCAAGTATCCAATGAGTGTCCTACCATCTCTTAGTAATACCATCAGTTTTTCTACAAGTGGTTTAAAGTTAGAGGATTTTTGGAGAAATGATCCAAAAAATAATTTGATTTTACACATACTATCTAGTTCGTCTAATAAATGCGCTGTGCCTTCTAGCTCTATTTTATTCATTTTAGATTATACTACACTGTTAAACTGCTGAGTACTTCTGTTTGTTATAAGAATTTTTCAAAAAGAAAAACATTTACAGCTGATCATAGTTAGTATTAGTAGCACAAAATATAATTAGTAGTTAGCGCCACCTGTTGTCCAAGCTTGACAACTTTTTGAAAGCAGTGAACTAAAATAGTTTTTGTGGATCAAGTGAACTGATCATAGAACGAGACTGACCATCTGTGCAATCACTGCTGCCAACACCAACATTCTAAAGTTCAAAATGAAATTTTCCTGCTCTATTTTGACAAGTTTGACGTGATCGTGTTCAGTTGCCGACATTTCTCTTTTTCACCAAGCACGTGTTGGTGTCGGTGTGTAGGTCTAGAAATATAGAAAAAAGGCTTACACCATGGCCCCCAAAGGTAATAATATGATCCCCAATGCCCACTTCCACAAGGACTGGCAACGATTCGTAAAGACTTGGTTTAACCAGCCCGCTCGCAAGTTCCGTAGGAAGGTGAAACGTGTAAAGAAGGCTCGTGCCATTGCACCCAGACCAGTGGCTGGACCCCTTAGGCCTGTAGTCAGATGTCCCACAGCCAGGTAAGTTTCGTCATTCGGCCACAACGTAGCAGCTAAGCCGTCCAAAAGTTTTTATGCAAAATATGTCTATAAGAATCCAATTTTGAACAAAAGCTGTGTAGTCAACCAATTTTTGATTTATCCCTTCAGATACCATAATAAAATACGTGCAGGGCGCGGCTTCACTCTGCAAGAGCTAAAAGCTGCAGGATTGAACCCTCGCTTTGCCAGAACTGTTGGAATTTCTGTGGATCATCGCAGAAGGAACAAGTCTGTGGAATCAGTACAGGTGAATACCCAGAGGCTGAAGGAGTACAAATCCAAATTGATCCTGTTCCCCATACACAACAAGAAGAAATTGAGGACTGGTGAAGCTACTGAAGAAGAACGTAAAGTAGCCACTCAACTGAAGGGCAAGTTTATTTTTTATTATGTTTTATTGCCTTTAAATTCTTGGTTTAATGTAAATCCTTGCATATATCTATTTCTTTTGATATAATAGTAAGTCTCTACACCAGCCAAATTTTGATGAAAAAATTGAGTTTTTGGCTGTAAATAAAATAATTGGGACCTAAAATGAGCACAAATGTGAAAGTTCTGAAATATTTTACTGAACATTTTTTAACCAGAGAAGGCAAGGAAATAATTTGTGTCAAAAAACATATTGATATGTTTTGTTACAAAATAAGACTGTAATCTTTAATCAGTTTTTTAAACAACTGTGGAATGGTAGACCTTCAGAATATAGTAATAAATTTTACTGATCATCAATTCAGATAAGATTGTTTTGCTGACTTATTACTTTCCACAAATAAAATCATTTATTTTGGTGTAATAAATTGTTCTTTTTTCAGGTGAGGTACTGCCAATTCGCCAAGCCAGCATTAGGACCAAGGCAAGGGTACCTACTGAGGAAGAGAAGAAGTTTGAGGCATATGTGACACTGAGGAAAGCAAGGGCTGACGCAAGGCTGGTTGGCATCCGTGCCAAGAGGGTCAAGGAAGCAGCAGACAACCCTGATGATGTCACTAAAGTACCCAAGAAATCTAAGAAGTAAACTTGAGATAGTTTTGTTATTTGTACTTTAAGGAATAAATAAATGGAATTTCATTTTCCAGATACATAAGTGTATGTAATCCTATCACATGAATTTACTACATCGCTGAACTGTCGAAGTGATTTACTGATACTTCACATTTAGCACTGGAAAAAAATCAACAAAATAGGAATGTGGCACAATAATAAGAGTAAAATTTACGCGAATTTTTTTGCTGATGGTCAAAAATACCTTTTACATCAATACTTTGAAAATGAATGGCATCTTGTGACATTGTTGAGAAGAGAGAACTTCAAAACCAAAACTGCCTAAAATGAAAATTGCATATTTATGAAAATCCATGCTCAAAGCTTTCATTGAAACCTGGTGTATAAGTGTGTTCTTGACTTGTCAATAAATGCTAAAATCGTTGGACCTTAACGTGGATGACGTCATCCTTTTACTTACATCAATTGACGAGGAAATATTGTAATCGCAAAAAAAATCGAAGATATGTTTATCTGGGTGTTATAAAATATGACAAAAAACCATGTCATTTTCGTCGGTCTGTCTGTCCGACAATGACTCCTCTGTAACTTTGAAAGCACCGCTCGCAATAAGACAACGGCATCCATCACACCAGAATCGACCACTGCGGAGAACACAAAGCTGCTATTGAAACTGTTAAGGATCTCAGCCCACGTTTAAATAGCCCAGTTACCTATTTTACAGCTAGAATCGTCAGCCATCTAGCGGTGACTGGGCTATTAAACGTGAACTGAACAGTTCCAACTAATAGCAGCTATGCGCTTTTCGCAGTGATCCATTCTGGTGTGATATATGCGACGTCTCTGGGATAGAGGGCAGTTGCGATGCTTTCGTTTGTCGAGAGACCAAGCCCAGACCATGCTGATGAGTAGCCAAGAAGCACGAAATAGCTGTCCATAGTTGGCTGTCTTTTGGTCGGACGGACAAAAGCATCATGTTTAGTTCAACACTCGGATTTCAATTAAAACGATCCAGTGGCGGCGGGGCTACGGGCAAAAAAATGATAAAATCGCTAGCTTCGTTTTTTTGACTCATAGACTGACTTGACCTATTTAATACCTACTACATTGTGGTTAACTTTTTTCTAAAATGGGCAAACTTGAGCCGAACTTACATTTTATGTACTCATGATAGATTTGTGTGGAAAATGCAGAGGCCACCTATTTGACACCATTTTTGGATATATGGATGCTAAATGAGCGGCGTTGACAATACGCTTGCTTTGAACACGACGTTTTGATGATGAACACGTTGACGCTATGGCTCGGTAACAAATCCATCACATCAAGCTCATGTCAAATTTGACAGGTAGAACCAAAAACTATTGACTTATGTAGAGAACCGAATCGTTTTATACAAATAGTGCTCCAATAGACACAAAAGGTATTGTGTGCTATGTATAGTATGCACTATAAGAATACTATTCACTTCATAGATGGAAGCTTAAGCATTCGTATGTCACTTACAATGTAGAATCATACCATATTTATATATCTATCATTTTTATTTAAATATAAGATAGTCTTAATTTATACCTAGTATATAATATGCATTCAATAAAACATAAAGTATCGGCTGATGCGTATTGGTAGCCGTTGCTTATTATCCATATAAATCTCACTTTCAAGTCTTCTCCAAGTAGCAATCCTTTTATTTTGTCTGTTGGATTATCAGTTTATTTTTCTGTCGGATTATCTTCACTTGTGGTGCTGGAATCACAGTCTGTAATTGTCGGGGTACCACTTCATGCCTGGATGCTAGGCTTGTGATCCTTGTTATTAGGCTGCTACTTTTACCTATCTGTTTGCTGGTGTTTGCTATAGGCCTTTGCACAATCTGTAAAAAACAAAATTGTACTATAGTAAAGGTTCATTTGGGAAAAAGATCAAAGATAAATATATTCAACCAGGAAGGTTTAATCGTTTACAATGAATAGAAAAAGTCATCATTGTTAACAGTACTAGAGTGATACAACAAGTTATTCAACGACTACTAAAATCTAATTGCTGAAGTTGAGCATTCTTCTAAAATAAGTGATAACTCATGGATATATCTCGAAGTGAAAAATATGTTCAAATAAAAGAAATTACAGTGATTGATTTCACAGAGTTACAAGAAACACTTTTACAACACAACATACCTGAAAAATTATCAATAATGCTGACAACTACTTCAAACAAATTATGGATAAATGTATGAGTGAAGCAATGGTCAAGCAAATGGTATATGAAAGAGGGCACCCAACACCCTGGTTTTCACAGATATTCAAGGAATCTAAATTAAAACGCGATGGCGACTACAGAAAATTTTTAGCAATCCAAAATAAAAATGATTGGAAACAATATACAAAATCAAAAAATGAGTGTGTAGCAGTTCTCAGGAGGGAATAGAAAAAAATACCTTGATAAGAAGATCGATAGCAATAAAACTAATTCTAAAATGATGTGGAAACCATTAAAGAATATTGTCTCTCCAAATAGAAAGACTGAATTATCAAAATGCGTAGATGGAGTAGTGACAGAAAAGAATGAGCATTTATTTTATAGATAGTGGAAATCAAATAGTGAACACGATTGATGACGGTGATCCAAACTTATTATGTTCATTATAAGAATATCATAATTCATCAATGAATCAATTTAGGACGATTAACATCAATAATCTGAGAAAAGCTATCTCAGAATTGAAATCTAATAGAAATCCAAGTGAGAATCTCTCAAAAAAGATTCTAAATGATGGTTTCAATATGACTGGAGAGAAATTATTAAGCATCTTGTTGAAGAATACATTAATTACGGTTATACTGGTACTTAGGGCATGGACACAGTGTAAGCATGACTAGAGTTTGGATGCACAGATCTAACAAAAAGCAACCCGCTTGGATTTTTGATACTTGATAAGAAAAGTACCAACTATAAACATACCTTACTACTACCGCCTGTCAAAGCTCTTTGCACGACTTGCTCTTTGCTCTCACTTCCATCTGAAGACATATGTCGCAGCACCAAATGAATTTTGTCATCATATCGCTGCTGCATTAAAAGTGCCCTCCTTTCTCCTTCCATTCTAACCTGTTGTAGAGTGTGACTCAGATTTTGTACTCTACATGCTAAGTTTTCATTTTGATTCTCATAGTCCAACACTTGTAGCTCCAATTTTTTACTGCTGCTTCTTAGATCCACAACCTGAAGCAAAAACGTATGATGGTTATGTAATATCGGTACCAATAGCAGTACGTAAGATGTATGCAAAATACATAATCATAATACATAACTCGACTAAACAGGTTGTTCTTAAAGTTGGGACTTGGCATTTAGTTTCGAGTTAAGAAATGTCCCAACAAACATGTGTCACTGTCTCTAGCAAAGAATTAGGTAAAAAGATAAAATTAGATGAAACTCTACAAACAGTGCGACAGTATGGTCCTTTTCACGAGTATCCATTATGGTAGAATGACGAATGATTATCTAGTAATATTTCAAAATTCTCCATATTGGCAAAGAACACATAATTCTGACGGATCTGTCAATGCCATGTAGACAGAGCCATTTTTGTTTTGCTGTATGCCACAGATTCATTTTGTACTTGCTAAAAGCTCTTTTATATAGAAAAGTTCATTTGCATAAAAAATAAAACGCTACAAAGTAGTTTTACTAGATTTACACCCGATTCATTATTGGCAACGTTGCAGAATATGTAATACAAAAATACTACTTGCTGATCAGCTGTTCGCCTCAGCAAACGTCAAAGCGTGTTGGATACTCATGAAATAGATGCCACGCCTGTTTAAAAGTCAGATTAAAAATAAAACAAAATGATATTCCTATAAGAATACCAAACTTGAAAATTTGATGTTTTGAGTCTTTAGTATAGTGCTAAAATGCTTCACCACATAGTTTGTTCATCTCAAACGCAGTTTGAAGGATAACACCTAAATTCAGAACACCCTCTATTTTATATATAGATAGTTGTAATAAAACCATAGATACATAACACACCTTCTGGAAATATCTAGAGAGCAATATCCTCATTTCCGATTCGCTCAACTTCAACAGCCTGTCCATGAGTAGCTTATCCCCTTTTTCTTCTAACTTCGCCAATGCAGTCTCGCTACTTGGTTTATGCCCACAAATCATCTCGTTCTTATACTCAATTGCAAAATCTATGGCTTCTATTGCTTCCTCAAACTGGTACATTTTCCTTTCGTCCACTTCGTTCATGATCCGTTTGTTGCACGACTTTGTATCAACCTTTAATTTCTGTTCTATTAGGTAGTCGCGCGTTTTGCGCAGGTTCCGGATCTCGTGACGGAGGGATTCCATATCTTCTTTTGACAATGGGACCACGTTACTAGATACCTTGAATATACAAAAATCCATCAAAAGTGTATTCATCCCGAAATACTATAATAACACATATTTGATAAAATCATATTGACTATATTGCACAAAGACGTAGTATAATGCAAATCGCTTGCGGAACTTTATTTCCTGACATATTCTACCAGAATGTACTCAAACCAAATTCGTGCCTTACGAAAACGGGAGTATGTGCCGTGCCGGCGCCAAACACTTATATGCTCGCTACTGTATACAGGGATATGTGACTGACTGGTTTGTATCTTGAATATTTGTGAAATAAAATAAAAAACGTCAATTTTTTTCATTTTAATATTTTATTGAAACTTGCGCATGAAAAATAATATCTGACAAATGTCCGCCTCTAGAAGCCGTGCAAACCTGAGCCCTCTTGATTACATTTTCCATCACTTCTTGGTAGGTTTCGGGAGGAATATTTTCAATCGCTTCCGTAATATTGTTCTTCAGCTGTTCTACAGTATTTGGTTTGTTGGCATAAACCCTATTTTTCAAAAATCCATATAAAAAAGTCAGGAGCCGTTAAATCCGGTGACCTTGGTGGCCAGTTGACATCACCAAATCGAGAAATTAAACGTCTCGGAAATATTGCTCGCAAAAGATTCATTGTTTCCCTAGCTGCGTGACAAGTTGGTCCATCCTGCTGGAACCACATGTTTTGCAGGTTAAATTGTTGGATTTGAGAAGCCAGGAAGTTTTGTACCATATCATAGTAGCGCTCGCCAGTGACAGTAAGAGAATGCAGCGTCTTCAAAGAAGTAAGTTCCAATAAAAACAACGTACCAAACTGTGACTCGAAGAGGATGTAGTGGCCGTTGATAGATGACACTCACTCATTATTTAAGTGAAACGTTTTAACAATTCGGACGCGTTGTGGAATCGTGTAGCGCTCCATGATGAATTGGACACATATGCTTTAAACAACTACTATGGCACCACCTACTGAAATGCATGTATCAAAAATGGCGCAATTTAAATCAGTCATGTATATGCCGACCACCGTTTTAAGACTATTTGTGCTGTCAACATTGCCATGTCTCGAGTTGCTGTCGCAGGTTACTGAATTTCCTTTTCCGCCATTGAGAAATTGCAAGAATACAAAATCCTATGAATAATTACGATGGGGGATATTTTCTTGGAATGATAATGCGAAACCTTTTTTCCAAAAGACAAATGTAGTGTTGTATGTGAACATCCAAATACATCATAGGGTTGCACGTCTTGGAGAATAAGTTAATCTATGCAAAAGTTTTACAGTGGAAACTACATTTTATAATTTCACAATATTTTGAATTCAGATTAAGATCTATATTTTGACTGTGAGGAAACACCTACCCGTGACATTACCATATTGGAATTTTTCTCACTGCACACACTATCTTCTTTTGACGTGACACTTTTTGTGCTAAGAATCTCACGCCGTTGTTGTCTGTTACTCTCGCCTACCAGCTGCTTGGTGCTCGTTTTGAAATTAGACACCAACGTGTCAACTTTTTCTTGTAAGCTCTCAAACTCCTCTTCCAAAAGATCTTCACTATCACTTCCACCTGACTCTGAAGTGTCTTCTATTTCTTCCTCTATACGTTCTAGAGATCTGTGTTGCTCCGAACCCTCACTCAACACCTCTTCACATTCTTGCTTGAGAGTTAACCACTGCGAGATCATCTCTACATCGCTTTTACTCAACTGACTGTTCACTACCAACTTTTGAAACAGCTCTTCGGCATTGGATACTAGCTTCAGTAACTGACTTGCAGCAAATTGTAAGCCAAAAACATCCGGATTCTCGTTCAAGCTCTCGTAAGTCGTATACGAGTTGACAGTGACCAAATTTCTAATAGTCTGACACCTTAAAGCTAGCTGAAGGTAATACAAGCTTTCTGAAAAGTTATGGATTAAAGGTGATACACAACATATCACAACAGTCTTTGCTCTGCCTCCAAATGAGTCTTTGAGCAATGTTGACAGTACTGATTGAGAGTATGGTACTGCATTTGCATTAAATACTGTTGGACAAGAAGAAGATTCAGAAAGTAATGAGATACAATTCTGTAGTGCCATGAGGCCGGGATCAACAGGAACAGTTTGCATCAGGCCATTTGACTCATATGCCATTATCTTTTCACTGGAAGCAAGATCTGCAAAGCTTGCGGTGGAAATTTTGTGATGTACTGCTCCATCTGCAAAAAAGATTAAGTATACCTTGGTATATCTCAGAGACATCAATGGCACCAATCAGAGATTCTTGTTATTGCTAGAATAAAAATCTTCTGAATATTGCTAGAATTGACGAGACAATAGGGGACAAGGATTGGCTAAGATGAAAAAACTTAATAATTTTCAGCGAATCAGTAATTGTCATGGGATTATATTATTAAGATTATACTTCCAATGGGCGCCGGGTAGGAAAGATATATATTATATTCAGTGAAAAGTGTAACAGTGTAACTTTAATCATGAATATATGAGGGTAAGGTGAAAAGTTCCCCATCGAAACAGTACCTTTTTTTACTTTCCTACATAATCCATTTTTACTACAACAGACCTGCTGCAACGTTTCTCCAAAACTAGGATTCATGTCAGTTGTCAAACACAATGTCATGGACCTTTTCGATAGTTTGTATGGTTGCGATTTTCACGTATGTCATTTCCAAAGGACGTGTAACCAGGTTTAAATTCATCTGCTCATTTTTTAATAGTTGAAATTGAAGGATCAGAGTCCTCATAGGCTCTTGTTAACTTTGGAAACATTTCCTTAGGGGCTAATCTATTCAATAGGATGAATTTGATAACAGGACACACTTCAAGTTTATCCATCTTAATGAAAAACATGCACTACAAAATTTTGTGTATATAAACTACTTGATAGAACAAGTTAATACTTGTCATACTAAAAAAAGATATATGTACCCATGCAGGAATTATGTATTTTTGCTGGTTGGCTAAGAACTTTTCACCTTAATCTCGTAATATACAATTTTTTTTTCGTTAACATTTCCGCGATCCCATGCCATTTGTCATCCTAAAGATAAAATAATTATAAGAATGTGAAGTATGAAAGACAAGTAATATACAAGATATTCATAAGCATGATTTTATATTGTGACAAGATGTATGTCAATATCTACAAGTTTTGAATTGATAACAAACATAATTATGACTTTGTCAGTAATGTTAAAATCAATAAATATAGCCATACACCGTGACCTTTACCAATCAAAGTAAATACTTTATCCTTTCATAACTCAACAAAACATGTATTGAGTTATCTGGTTACAACAGACATAGGCATTAAATTCAATCAATCTGGTCATGAATCCATAACTTGGACATAGTGTTATGAGTGCTACATCTACCTTAAGTCTCAGCATGCCTCAATAATGCTGTTCTAGAGTTAGCAATGGACTGTAATCATGGCATAACAATTATCATAGGTCAAGTTAGTAGTATGTTAAAATTCTTATATCAGAGCTGAATACTTGATGAAAAATTATGAGTGTGGGATGATGCAGTTTTATCAACTTGAAACAGACTCACCAAACAAGGATACACAACATAAACAATGAGTGTTCTGCCAGCATAAAGCAGACCAGCACTTTATGCTAAATAACAGTAACGATGGAATAGCTTCAGGAGTTTGCAATATTTATACAACAAATTTACAAATCTGACAGCCAGGTGCAAGCTGCTACCAAAGTGACAATGCTATGCCATGGCTACTGTTATTCAGGATAAATGTGTTGGCACCACTGGACTGCTTTATATTTGCCGAACATGTATAATCTTTTTTACCTATACCACAGATAATAGTGCATTAAATGTATTAACTAAAACATCAGTAAAATCAATTTTACATCATCAGATATATACATTGACTAATTCATTTCAGTACACACTCAAAGCACCCTATTCTAATAAATATAGCTAATATCTTCATAATATTTTTTAAGCTATTAGTACAATATGCTGTAATAAACTTTCTTTAGCATAATAAATAAAATAAGTAAGATGCTACAGTCTGTAGAATGTATTATAGCAAATTCTATATTTAACTTGCATAATACAACATATTGAAAACTTCTTTTTAAAAAAATGCCAAGAAATTACCTGCAGTTATCCATTGCTGTTCCAAGGTAAGTGTGAACAGTGTATGAGCATACTTAGGAGTCATATTGGACATCCCCATCTGTAGTAGTTTGAAAGCATCAATTATATCAGTTATTTCCATACTACCACTACCCAGCAAATCCTCAACACTGTCTCCACAAATCTGTGACCATGTTATATGTAGGGAAAATGTGTGATCACGAAATTGTTTAGTTTTCATGAAAATCTCCCTTATAAACCTGAAATGAAATACATTAAGCACTTTTAAAAATACAATTGATAACAGTGATACAAATTCATAAGCAGAATACTAAATGTTAGCTTAGTTGTTGTGTTATGTGAGTTGTTGTTTGTTATCAAGTCAGTTACCAAGTGGAGAGGTTTCAGGGTAGACGAAATTAGTAATTTGTGAATCATGATGTTCACTCCTTGATAGAGAGTTAACAGGCACTGTACAGTGCTTTATGAGCCTCAATGTAGTATAGTATAGTATATGGGTTATGGGATATTGTGACTAGTACTTTAAACTGACTAGGCAATCTGTAACATAAGGTAATAAATTTTATATGTGCAAAAGTAAGATACTAGGCGATATTTCACCACATATTAACCTACGAAGGTTATTTATCAGACTAATAAAAAATATAAATAATTGAAAATGGGTCATAGTACAAACCTAGGTATGATCCCATATTCGAACTCGCTGGAAGCAAAATGAAACCCAGGCCCATACAATGTGTATGTCTTCCCGCTTCCCGACTGTCCCATAGCTACTATTGATACATCGCATCCTTCCAGCATGAAATTCACCAGTCCTAAGGCTACATCAGAGAAAACAGAGCTTTGACAACAGTTTTGCGGTAGGGCATAGTTTACTGGGAAAGCCAAATTGTTAGGCAGCTGTATTGTGTTATTAGCGGGGTTGCTTTTGATGTAAACATCTTCATTACACTCTGTGGGGCAGATTCGTACTGCCGTTTCCACAAATATCTCCATTATTAGGATGTGATCCAAAAGTTATTAGTGTTTTTGTTTTTGCGTCATTTCTAACCTCAAGTGAATGTCAAAATTAAATTGTCTGAAGTGACATAAAAAAAAGGAAACGTAGGTTGACAGCTTTGACTTCTTGCCTAGGCTGCGTTCGCCATGCTTACTGTACTATAGTATTTACACGTGATCTACACTACAACACGTCTCTACCATTGCTAAACATCATCTGTTCTCTATTTTTTTTAGGAAGTTGCAGTATACAAGGTGTCCCAGAAGTCGACGCCAAAACGGAAACGGGGGATGGGCTATGTCATAATAGTTATCACAAAAATATAAAAAAGGCGTGTACTTTTCAAATTATAGGCATCAAGCAAAAAAAGACAAAAAATCTACACCCAGTAATGATCTTTCAGCTCCCATTACTACAAATTTCATTTTTTCTTAGAGGGCGCGACGGGCGTCATCGCTCTACGTAGTGACAGCTAAACAGTAACGCCAATTTTATTAATTCGTGAATGTATCTATATTCTAAATTCACAATAAATGTTCAAACTTCATTTCTTATTTCTTTAGCAGCAAAATGCAAGCCCGATATCTTCTTAAACATGTCGGACGAGCGAAACATCCGTTATTAACAAATTCAGCTGCTTCCGATATTCTGTCCCGTAGCTCAGCTAAATTTTCGATTGGCTTTGGGTAAACTTTTTCTTTCATTGCTTTCCAGTAAAAAAAATCGAGTGGATTTAAGTCAGGTGAACGGGTTGGCCACGAAATTGTACCAGACCGCCTTAATATCCACCTGCGCGGGCATTCCGCAAAATTATCATCTAACAGAAAAAAAAGTCTAAATAAATTTCGCCATTCAAGAACTCTGGCAGCTCAAAGGGTACAATGATTCTCCCATTTAGAATCCCGGTCCACATGTTTACTTTAAAACGATACTGTGATCTACATCTTGTCTCATCAAATGTGGATTTTCTACAGGCCACTCGTGTTAAGATGTGTAGATTTATGTAACCATCATTTTTAAATGTCGACTCATCAGTCCATAATATTTTCTCTAAAAATCGCGGATCTTCCCCGTGTCTCTCAAACATTGTTTGACAAAACTCAACTCTTTGAAGATGAATGAATGAATGAATCTTAAAATTAGAGGCATTCCGGCCACCATAAGGAGCCAGTGGATAGTCCCCTTAAGAGGGCGCTTATATGCACCTCTACATTCCTTAGATCACAAGCCTCGCCCTTATAGCGAAGTTGAGAATTGCCTTCAAATCCAAGCTCCTTGACGTCCTGAGGGTCCAAAGTAATGGACCCCAGTATAGTCTGCCTATAGTAGATCAGAGCTTCACAGCGACACAAAACGTGCGCCGAGGTCTCTTCCTCTACCCCGCAGCGTTCACACAAGAGATCCTCAGCCACCCCCATCACGTGCAGGTGGCGCCTTAACGTGTTATGACCAGACAACAGTCCCACCAGCAACCTTAGGTTGGCCCTATCCAGAGATAGGCAGAAACGTCCATTCCTAGCACTGGGCATTTCATTGAGTTCCCGTACCTGGCGGAGATGTCTGGAGATACTTCTCCATTTCTGAGAGTGTTGTCTTGCAACACACGTCTCCATTTTCCTCCTAGGTCTATGCGTGGTCACTCCTAGAGCTGGCTCAGGACCAACGAGCTTACTGGCTGATCCTGTCTTCGCCAGAGTGTCCGCCGTCTCATTGCCCCTTATCCCAGCCTGCCCCGGTACCCACATTAACGATACCAGATGCCTCGTTGCGAGGCAATCCAGAGCCTCCCTGCATTGCAATACAAGACTCGAAGTAATCTTACTCGTACAGGCACTTAGTGCTTTCATTGCAGCCTGGCTGTCGGATAATATTGTTATTCTCTCCTAGGCTCACCCTCCTCCAGAATGTGAAATACACAAGCCAGAATCGCAAAGATTTCCGCCTGGAAAATAGTGGTGTATCCACCGAGAGGCAGAGATAGCCTAGTTCTAGGCCCAGAGACCCCAGCACCTGAGCCCTCTTCGGTGACCGAGCCGCCCGCTCACCCCGGAGAGTCTCCGGCTACCGGCGTCCTACTCCTCCCTCGTTAGATACTCCACAATAAACTTGCGGTTGAACCGATATTTAGGAGTAATACGATCACTCCTCCTTAGAAGGACGGGATCCTCCCTTTGCAATTCGAAAGATGGCAGTATGCCCCTTGACAGGATTCAAGAAAGCCCAGCTGCCCTGACTCCACAGTCGATGAGCGACTACTCTCGCCACCGCGGATCACCAGATCCAACGGTGGGAGATCCAACAGAGCTTCCATTGCACTCAATGGCGTTGTTCGCACAGAGCTTGTAATGCTAATACAGGCCAAACGCTAAATTTTATTGAGTTTGGCCTTAGTTGTCTCAGTTCTAATGCAAGGCCACTAGACCAGGGAGCCGTACAAGAGAGATGGACGTACTATCGTCGTGTAGAGCCAGTATACGACTTTGGGTTTAAGCCCCCCACCGACAACACCTCTACAGGCCCACATTGAATTGCGAGCCTTGCTAACCTTGTATTCAACATGCCCTCTCCAGTTCAGTTTGCAATCCAGGATAATTCCCAGATATTTCACTGATTGGGATAGAATTAATCAAGTTCCAAAGAAGGTCGGCATGACCAGCCCGTCAAGCCTTCTTCTCCTAGTGAATAGGATCAGCTCGGTCTTTTCAGCATTAACAGAAAGATCGAGTTCCCTGCACCACGATTCTACAGAGCGCCCTGTTCAATTTCCGAGACTATTCTACAAAAACGTCCCCTAACTACTATGCTTAAGTCATCAGCATAGGGTTGCACGTAGAAACCCACACTGCTGAGCCTAACAAGGAGTTCGTTCACCACGATGCACCACAGTAGGGGTGACAGAACTCCGCCCCGAGTGTAGCGTCTAGCTACCCTGACGCTGCAGCTTACGTCATTCAGCATAGCTGTTGCTACCCGACCCTCCAGAGTAGATAGGACCCAATCTATTAGGATTGATCCAACCCCGTGTCTAACCAAGGCATGTCTGATAGAGTCGGTTGTGGTGCAATTAAATGCACCTTCAATGACCAAAAAGGCCACGAGTACCACATCTTGCTGATCTGGAGTCTTCTCCAGCCTACCGACCAGATTGTGTAAGGCCAGATCAGTCGATTTCCCAGCTTGGTATGCAAACTGATTTGCATGAATGATACACCTTTCCAGCGGCCCACTCTTGGAAGATAATCCCGGGGTTGTGGAGATTGTACTCGCTGTACGTGGTACAGGTGGAGCTCTTCCTTTCGCAAGATTCGGTGGGCTGTACTTGTTTCTAATTGACTTACTGAAGTACTCTGGTCTTCGACTGCTTGTACGACGTGTTCGTAAGGGAAGGAAATTCTTCCTTCCACATGTGCTTGATTAGGGAATCGTCCCTCCGAGAGCAGCAAACGGTGCATATTCGCTCCGTGATCGGGGTGACGAGCGGCATTTAGGTACTTCTCACGATAAAGCCTAGCTGCAGCACTAGCATTGCATCTAAATTCTCCATAAATGAGGTGCATCTTTGCATATTCCTGTACCGCGTACACAGACATGGTGGCACTACACAATCATGAATTAATAAAAGTGGCGTCACTGTTTTGTTGCCACTACGTAGAATGATACTGTCCCTCATTCGGTCTAGGAAAAAATCGAAATTTATAGTAATGGGAATTACTATACAGGATGTATATTTTTCCAACTTTTTAAAGCTTATAATTTGAATCTCCGATTTTTTTAAAGCATATAATATGAGAAGTACACGACTCTTTTATATTTTTCTGATAACTCTTATGAGTTGGCCAATCCCCACTTCCGGCTTGCCGCCTTCTGGGACACCCTGTAAATGTGATCATTTCAGTGTTAGCACAAAAAGTAAACCGCATTATTCTCAGCTTATTACAGCCTTTGTTTCGATATTATATAATAGCATCGAATGATCAGAGGTTTTCAGACTTAATATCCAACAGATAGAAATGCCGCGCTTGTGCGGTGCACGCTCTGCACGCAGCGGGCCTGATGTTGTGTATTTAATATACCCAACGGATGTCCATTGATATGTGAAGTTTCCAGAAGAATACTAGCGTAACAACGATATATACGTTTGGAAAATAGTACATCTGATGATAGCACCGACAGCTCAAGGGTACATATTTATTTTGTTCCAAGCACTATAATACTGAGGAAGCGGATTCATCAAACCATTCATTGAATAAGAGATTGTTACATTCAAAGAAAAAAGAAGTTGAGAATATGATCCTCTCGAAGTAGTTTTGGGCACATTTGAGAACGTGGTTATTTTACAAAGTCCATCAATAATTGAGTCTGTACTGACTAACTACTTGGTTACAATTTCTTTTACTTTGAAACTATCCTATGAGTGGCGACGAGTGACTTTTCCTAAACTGTTACCAAAAAAAGGTTATTTTGAACCTCCCAAATATAAGTTTTTTGTTATTTTAGGTATTTTATTTAAACTATTTTTAAATTAAGTTAAACATTCCTGGATTGAGCCTCTGGGTCACTTGATATACCTCATCGTCTTATGCTATGATGACTAATCCAAGCCGTCCCAAAAAACTGTCGACGTTTCTAGATGTTCGGAACATTTTTGGTCTTTTTTGGCAATGAATATTAACAATTTCCTGTAATTTCCTCTATCGTCAGAGTCATCCTCTTCAAAATGAACGGTAATTCCTGTTTTGCCAAAAAACATACGGTATCTAGAAGTGTGCTGCCTAAAAGCTTGGTTAAGACAACTTTCGATTCTTGTTTTGCCAAACTGAGTTAAATTGGCTACACATCTCACATGTAACGGAGAAATTTCATGTCTCCTCTTTAGAGCCCTAAAACTATTTAAATCGTTGGCTCCGCTGCTGGTCCATCTATTTTTTTCTGTATAAAACAGAAGACATCGCCACCAATACAATGTTTTTTTGCAACCACATAGCCAAGAGTTTCCATACAGCAACTTCATTTAAAATATCAAACTACGTTTTTTTATTCCTTTTTAAAATTATCTAAAATAGGTGTTGGTCTTCCATTTTCAATGATCTTTTTTATACAAGGAGAATGACTTTTTAAGTAGTTGATCGATTACGCAGCGACACTCATCCATCTTTAATTGCACGCACACTACAGCCGGTAACCAAAACGGCTACTAACGAGTGAGAAGTGAGTAACCAAATCAAAAAATGGTAACAAGCCCACATAATAGTCGCAGCGCCCCACGCACGCGGGCGGCCGCGATGAGACACGAGCCGGTACCGGCGATCCCCGACGGACTACCAAGTGTATCTATAGATGAAAATGGTAACAACCGACAACAAAGTCGAGGCGAGTCAGCTTCATCGTATTCGCAAAACCTAGACACTCTAGGGCGCTTGATTTTCGTGGGGCTAATTTGCTATTTACTGAATTACTATTACATATCGCTGTTGGTAAACAAATAGATGAAATTATTTCACAGTACTTAGTCATAAAATATTTATTTTTAAGATTTTTAACTGTTGCCAATGGTAACAATGGTTACATGGACGCTTCGCCACTGTATATTATCAAATCGCATCAGCATTGCGTCAAAGCAAACACGATTCCCATATTCTTGCACTCCTATTAGCTCATTTTGTTACGAGCCTATATAGCTTACCGACCAATAGTAGAGCTAAAACTTGGTGATTTAGCAAACGTGTTTAGATAAAAATAATCGTGGTTTGAATAATCGGACCTGCAACTAGTGAATGATCAGTTATGAGAATAAGTAAAAACAATATGTTCATTTTTATTTTCAAAAGCATAATATATAAAACTCTGATATAATAAAATAGATACGTATGATATTCCAGGTATCATTAAAACGATGAATTAATTTTTATATTTAGAAATTTGCTGTATCTACATCCATTAAAGTTTGATAGTCTATTTCAGTTAGATACTCTGTGGGACAAGTTGCGACTTGCTTATTAGCTTCCAGAGCGAAGTCGTACTTTTTGTATTTGTAGTGCATCATCAATTTTGCTGATAATTTGGTGACTGTGAAGGCTGTCTAATAAATGGTAAGACCGATTCAGAAGCGGAAATGAGTCGGTTGAAGACAAGCAAAGGAGCATCCTTCGACCTCAAAAAACAACGGAAACATGCAAAAAGTACGAAAAACGGCTCTATCAAACAGGTGATTGATGATTCGAGAGCATGGCGAAGAAGTAAACATCTCGTATGGGTCCCGGACAAAGCATTTTCACCGATAATTTTCAAATCAGATGACTCACTGTAAAATTTGTCCTTAGAGTTTGGGCGACGAGCAGAAGGGAACTCGGCTCAGTTTGAATGGAATTCAAGGGTCTGGACTACATGGCCAAAATTATAATTGATGGAGATGAAAGCTGTATGGCTATATATTATGACCCTCAAACAAAAATGTAAAGCTGCTAATGCAAAATGTCTCTCCTCACCTCAAAAAGGCGTCAGCCAAAGTTGAACGTTAATATCGTGTTATTTTTAATAGCGGGGGTATAGTGCGATCACTGTATATGTTTTGTGATGTGGTCATAGTACGTTCAAAGTGAAACAAGTTAATATTACATCGTTCGCGAAACAATGTACGCAGACAGGGACTCAAAAATTGGCCAACGGTTTTCTCTTTCATCATCACAATTTCAACAACAAACCGAGCCACATATCGCTTCTGATTCGCAAATTTTTGGTTAAAAATATGACTGTTCATATCCGACTTATTCTCCGCACCATGCGATTTCTGGCTCTTCTCAAAAATAAAAAAAAACCTACTGAAAGGAAATTAAGATTTTTGACATCATTCCAGAGAATAAAAGAGCTAGGAAAGAGCAGCTGAGCGTCGTTCTGCAAGAAGACTTTCAGAAATGCTTCCAACAACAGAACCACCATTGGATAAATGCCTCGCTAGACACGGAGAGTACTTTGGAGGAGATTAATCTAAATTTGATTTGAGCTGAATAATTTGCTCGTAATACAATCGATCATCATATTTTTTTAACACATCTCATATAATATACTTGATAAATAAATCCCAAAATGTCAGCACAACTTTTATAGTCTACTTTTTCAGATGACGCGCGTGAGCATAACGTTCGCTTTTAAAAGACTCAAACTTGCAGTTCAAATGGAAACACGCGTGAGAAAATTATCCCTATCCCTGCGTCGTCAGCATTACGTAAACATACGTCTCATGCGCGTCATCTGAACTTATCCATATCCTCATCTTTTCAATTCACTTACACGCGACCTATTTACAATGGTCTAAATCTGCCTACTGATATACGGATGCTACCAGTCATACACAATTTTCTCATTCGAGATGAAAGGTAGTCACAATATACATCTATTTGCCTAGATCAATAAAAACCCGAACTGCGAGTGAACAGTATTTTTGATGCACAGGCTCCAGCATGCCAATCCCTGATCCCTTCGATTTCCATATGTAAGGGTAAGTTATTGTGGAGAGGAGGCTTTACTTTTCAGAACATCCTCTAATTTGTCACTATGTTTGTATCAGCAGGCAGTAGATATCAACTAAGTCAGAAAATTGAAATCATAGTATATAAGTGAATATACAGAACCATAGGTCTCTATTGACTATTCCCATCAAATGGATTATCATATGATATTGTATCGACAGCAAAGTCAGATTACAAGCCATTTGCAATCTTATTTATAGTGTAGCATTTGTATATTTCATGCTCTTCACTTTTAATGGAAGCTATCAATGCTGAAATGATAAATAAGGATACATGAGGCATACATTATTATAGTTTACTCCAAATACACATATGAAGTTTTGACTAATAGACAAATTATTATTTTTCAAACCAAACCAAAATTTGTTGAATATACATTTTTTGTTCAACTCTAACCAATTTTCCATTCCGCCTGAGCTGAATAACTCTTTTATTATCTGCAGCTAGTCAATAACAACTACTGTTGTTGAGTCTGCCTCCTGGTCTGCTTGCGCCCCTGCTACTCTTCTTTTTTTTCTTGGAGAAGGGCATGTCTCTTCCCTACAATCTGGTATCACAATTACCCCATCTGCCTCTGAAGAATCTAAGTCTATAGTCTGAACCTCAATACCAGAAGTACAAATAACATTTGCTTCTTTTATAGAACTTGCTTGTTCATTGTCAGTAACTGTAGATGTAGAGTCAGATATCACAATTATATTGTCAGCATCTGAGGTACTTCTAACAACTCTCCTTGATTGTGTCCTTGCCAAGGAAGTTTGTTTGCCCTGAAGACATCCAATTAGCAACTTCCACAGCTTCAGCTTTTTGTGGAAGTCAAGTGTTGGATGGGTTAATGAAGTCAGAATGTTTTTGATTACTGAGGCATTAGGCAAATCTACAATAAATAAGGTATTTTTAAGAGAGTACCAATTGTACTAAAACTGACTATTTAATGTAGATGAGGCATGCTAGATTAACCAGCCATTGTTAATCCTTTTGATGAGTATCTATCAAAGTTCTTTTAAATAATTTAAAATCATATGGAAAAACAAATGTATGCACAAAATTTTAAAAATCAATTTAACATTCTATCCCCATACCAATAACGTCGCAGTCATTACATTTGTAAAGGTCTGAAGTTTTTCCACTGATGAACAAACTACATTTCTTTCCTTAAGGACCCATTACAAAATAGAACTTAGGTAAGCATGTGATAATTTTGCATATTTTTATCTCAGGTTAGATATGATGAATATATCTAATTTATATGATAGTAATGAACTTACTGAAATTATTGTAGAAAACTTCTATAACGTCTATTATTGTATTTGTATTCATATCTCTATCTATTCTCCATCCTACCAAGATCTTTACACACAAACTGTCAGTTTCTTTTAAATACTGTACGCACAATCCTCCATCATCCAGTCTGCTCAATGTAATGCAAGGTTCTTTATTAAATAAAATGTCTGTTATTAGTCTTCTTGTTTCCAAAAACTTTGATGTTTGGATCAACAATCTTATGGCTTCATTTAGATTTCTATATCGTTTTAAGTAATTCCTTGTCCTTGCTATTTCTTTCTCCACTTCTTTGTCAGGTACTTCAATATCCAGTTTCAAAATCTCATTTCTCTTTTCCTACAATACCATTATACAGGTATTACAACCTAAGTTAACAAAAAAAATTGAGTACTTACATAGTTAAATGATAACACTTTTATTAAGAATGATAAATTGTATATAGAAATATCACAAGTATATAGAAGAAAATTCTTTTCTCCAAATACATTTTCATTTAGGTCACTATATTTTTTGATGCTGCATTCATTGAACTCTACATCCCTCAAATTTGTGGTCACCCCAAAATTGATTTTGAGTTTCTCAGCAAATGATGCCTGATCCATCTTCGGTAGTAATTGTTATCCGAATCATGCCAATACGAATATGAAAAATATAATATCTAATATACTTTTCCTCTTGCTTTGTTATTATTTTACTACTTCCAAACACAGGACACATATGACTGTATAAGTAGTAAATATAGACAACAAATTTATATACACAAAACATCTACGGTCAAGTAACTGTCAACAAATGTCAGAAAGGCTGAGTTCATAAATTGTTACGGAGTGTACTTTGTACTAAACTGTAACAATGTTAGCGTTCCTAATTTTTTGACGTTCTGTTACATGTGTTCGGAATTAGAACAAAGTAATCCTTCTCGAACCTCAAAAGTGCAATTTTCTTCCCATGCTTAAAATCTCGGGAATACACTTGCAATTCTTATGGTTCATTGTTTATTTACTTCATCTATTTATCAAAAAGTACTCATCATTGGCAGAATATATATTTTTTACGATAAATGGTCTATCTCGTAACCATAACGTAGTTAGAAATTAGCATGCCGTCATCAAATGTCGTTTTAAAACTATGTAATAATTTACCTTTTAAACATAAAGTTACACAGTATTCAAAAGTAAAATTTCATATATCTACTGCGTACGGTATTACATTACCAAGTAACTTACAAACCCACCCCTATGACATTTGTCGCTCTTGACAATTCCTCTCCACCGATTCAAAACTCAATTTAAAATTACCGCATTACCAGATTTCTGTTGGTAGAACAAAATAGGTAGAATATATGGTAGTAGATCAGACGCGGTAGACAACAAACTCTCCCTCTCCTCAATATTCGTGCCCCACCCCACATGACGTGCCCCACCGCCAAAGCTGTCACCGGTACGGCAGGTCAGCACATTGCACGTATATCTTGTGAAGTGGAAATCATTTTTGTACTATATATTTTGTGATTGGTAGTTGAACAAACACGTCAGTTCAGAAATGCCATTTATGTAAAGGGAATGCTGAGAGGGTTATGTTATTTGAATGACGGAAATATGATTTTATTTTTTTTAAAATATCCAATACATGAAGCGTGTACAGTAATAAGTGAATTCAAAATAAGATGAAAGCCTTTTTATATGTATTCTTCACATTTCATGTTATAATAAGGTATGTGGAAGAAAGTAGTTTATGGAAAGTTTTTTGTACCTGATGAATTTTCAGTTGCACTTTGATTGTAAACTATGAAGCGGAAATTACCAATAACGTTGCACCCAGCGAAACTCCAGACATAGAAAATTTGTCTACAGTTACGCAAAGCAATGATCTGTTAGAAAATGAGCCCACCCCCATATCTGGAGGCACCATAGAGCCTACTATTTCAAATCTGAATCTTAGTAGTGACAAAAACCAAGCAGAAAACATAAGTACTTCTATTAGCAGTACAACAAATAGGTGAGTGAAGATTTCACTATATAAGATAGATTTTATTTGAACTTATGTAGAATTTCAAGTATTTTTTTGGTAATGGTAAAAAACATTACATTCATAGGTAGCTGTAGATATATTGTACTAGGCTAATTGAAAACAATGTCATTCACAATCACAAGAAAAGATGAAACCATCTCATTATACCCAAACAGTACAACCAGATGAACACTGTTGTATAATTATTTTGATATTCAATCAGTCATTGAAATTTTCTCTTTCAAGGCAATTTTTGACACTTCCCGTGTCTTCTCTCTAGATTTGGAGTATTTCTTGTCTCACAATATTGATGCCATGTTTGATTCCCAATAATGTTGTCAAGGATCAGTTACCACACCAGTCTTCAAAAGCATCAAATGTATGAAAAAGAAATTAGTTCACTAGTAGATACCCACACATTACCTGTCATTGATATCCCAATTGATGAATAGAGAAAGTGTCACCAACCACATGATGTGACTTGTCAGTAAGGGGATCATTGAATGTTCAGTCATTGGTGTTAACTATGCAAAAGTTGCATAAACTAAAAATATGCTGAGTAGGATCTGTTTGTTTCTTGTCTCTGTGATCATGATCAGTCATCTACAATGTTGTTTCATACCTGTGGACTATTATATGGCCAATGCTCCTCCTAATTTTCAGAAGTCTCAGTAATGACACCCCAGTAGTATTATCAGACAGTCTGAATAGTGAGCCAGAGAAGATTGCCGAACCAGTACCTGTGATAACTTTAAGCGATGAAGTGCCACAAAAAGTTGTAACTCAAAGTAAGACAGAGGTCAAAGTAGACAATGGAACGCAAGATGCTAAGAAGGAAGTTGATAGTGCCAATGCAGTTAACGAGAATATAACAGGAGGTAAAGCAGAGGAGATCCCTTCATTTAGTGAATGGGCGCAGAAGCGTTTGGAGGAAGTTGAGAAGAATGAACAGAACACCTCTGTCAAAGGCCATACAACGAATGGTGAGTGCTTCTTTTAACAAGTACTTTTTTGTTCAGGCTTTCATACATTTTTGGACGCTCAGTACTTGTATTGGTTTTTGCGAGTTTTGCTGTAAGCCAGTCATATCCTAATATTATTTAGAGAGGAGTGCTTTGTATTTTTCTTGTATCTAAGAAGATATTCTTCAGATCCTTAGTAAATTTGGGCATTTGCATAGGAACGACTCCTATGAAGAGTCAATATTTGAACGATTGCTAAAAATAGTATTTTGTTGAACTACTACCACTGGCACACTGACATCTACATCACGAAAAATCATATCACTCATTTCTGTCGATCTGCCTGTCGGACTGTCTGCTAATCCTTGGCCCATCTATAACTCTGAAAGTACTGCTCAGCAGGGGTATTATGCAACGTGAAAAATTACATTATGTTGGTTTTTTGACATTATGTAGTTTTTTATGATATTATGTAGGTTTTCCTACAAGGTATCAACTAGGAACAAACCGTCGTTCACTTCAAGCTCACTGTAACAGGCGCGGAATGAACACTGCTCACTACAAGCTACCTAGTCCACAAGTTGACATTTCATTCAGACGAGACTCTGGATACAATACGTGTGTCGCGGTCCGCTCGCTTAAACTTTTATCAGGGGTGACGGGAAGGGGCATTTATTGGCAAGAGATAACGTTTAATGACCTGCCTTTTTAAACAGCGTGGGCTAGTAAATTTTCTCCGTATCCCCAAAATTGTAGAGAAAAGCATGCCTAATATGTAAATTTTGATTGTAAGGGTTTGTTTGACTGACTTGATGCATTTAATTTGTTGTTATGCATGTTTGTAGCATAATCCTTTACCAACTAATGACAACGATGCATGGGAAGTGCAGAGTCAACCTACTTGGCGCCATTTTTATTAAGGCTGATATTTTATAAGTTATATTATTCATAGAAAACACATTGGTTCAACGCATTAATTTTCGTAATTTCTTGTATTGTAACACAGTTGTCTGCCTTTTGCGAATTCGAATATGTTTTTAGGAATTAAAATTGCATCCACTGGCGCGCGTTTGCGAAGGTCTGAAAGAGTCCTGAGGAGTAAACTACTATTTTTTATAATTCATGAAAAGTTATATTTTAGGTTAAAATGATCATACCAAGAAATGTATAGTTTCTAATAATGTCAGCATATTATTCTTCTATTATTTGTAAAGTTTAAATTGTTGTTTAAATCCAATGATTTTAAAACAATGACAGTAATTTATCATATATGCTTGTTTTAATTAACTTTATAATGGTTTCTGTGTGGATGATATTTATATTTTTCATTTTACATAAAAAGGCAATTTTATGTTCCTTTCTTGCTTGAAGCTTTGTATTACGGCTGTGTTGAAATCAGCACAAAGGCGATAAGAATCTTCAAAATCACCCACTGATTTTTTGTCGATTCTCGCCGAATTATTTTTGCCATACAGATGATTATTTTAGAAAAGCTGGAAATAACTCGCAAATCAAATTTTTAGTATATATGTATTATTATGTAAGACGTAACGCATGTAGCTTCATGATAAATTGTTTGGAAATTTTGTGTCATTGAGATGAAATAAAATAAAAAACAATAAAACTCATTACTTCAAAGTATTATATAGATTAATTCTCTGGCAGTATTATTTACCTCGTCGAACAATAGCTCGGTGGGTTTCAAATTAAACACAAGAAAAGGTGTTTTCCATTTGAGCAATTTAATGTTTGATACTCGGAAAAAATACATACACATCGCTTACATGTTATTCAAATGGATTTTAACTAGTTTGAATGCTGATGTCAAAACGCGGTCAAACCTAGAAGTGACTGGTCAGATCGCGAAATACCCGACAGTTTTGGTTAAAGTTCGTTAAAATCTTGTCCTTCCCATTTTAACCACAATTTCTTCAACTTATACCTCGTCAAATAAATGTATTTATTGATTCCTCTATTTTTTATAATTCCGCCGCATGATATTAATTGAACTTCGCTTTCTAAATTACAATTTGGAAACATCCGATTTATAACTCATTATAAAATCCTGATGTAACATAACACAAATATTACCATATCTTCGCATTATCATATTTGACAATTTCTCATTATCACTATTAATTAGCTCACATACATGTATGTATGTACGTGTCCTTGGATTTTGAATCATGATTACGAAGATAACATCCATTTTTTATTAGTATTGATTTTGTGATTACTGACATATGATGTTAGAGATATATTTATTTAAAGAAATTAATATATCCTTGCTTTATTGACGTACATTCTATATAAATGTGGCCACCTAAAACTGTTGGAAAAGGTGACGATACGATCCAGCAGGGATTACTTACATTAGTCTTAGAAGGCCATTTTTTATTATTGGAACAGCCTCGTAGGCAGAATCCTAAATGCCAGGACACCGCAGCTGTTATGAGGATCCAAAAGATTGAATTTTGTTAATCCGATTTTTGAACTGCCTAAGGTTAGTCGAACTGGGAAAGGCTTCCTCTTGTAGATTGTTCCACAATCTCGACACCCTCAGGTCAAAGTGCGGTCGTATCGGCCAGTTCTGGATAATCACACCGCGCAGCGACATCATGGAGGAGAGCTCTGAGGAGCAAAGCCCATTAGTGTAGCGGTAGAAGAGAGCTAGATCCCGACGGCCCGCCGATGCGAAAGGATCTCGAGACTGTGTGTTAGAACAGTCATCGATCAGTCGGACAGCCCTCCTTTGGACAGCATCGAGCATAAATAATGTAGTCGTGGCGGCAGCACTCCAGACGTGCAGAAAGTACTCGAGCCTAGGCCTTATATGGGCCTATAGAGTAAGCAGGCTCTAAACGAATAGCCTAGCTTTTTTCCAGCAGCTGCCGCTGTTGACGAGATGTGTTCGTGCTAGATCAGGTCCTCGGTGATCTGGACTCCGACCAGCCGAAATGAACGGCTCTTGGGCACAACTCAAGATTGTGGTATCTCCAAGCAGTGATAACCGTCATGTCTCTCGTCAGAGAGCAATTCGGTGTTAGTCTGCTTTTTTACAGCTCACCGGCAGAGATCGGCGTGTCGCTCTAAGTTCCTGCATGTAGAGTGCTGTCATCAGCAAAGCTGTGGACTGGGTTGATCGTGCAGTGATATTAGAGAAACAGTGTCGGAGGAAGGCCAATGCTTCCCTAGAATGGGTTCTCGTATTGAAGGGACAGCTAAACAATTGCAAAACAAGTGCTTAACTGTGACTTCTTGCTAACATCCTTGACAGAAAGGTGTACTCGTGTCAGTTAGTCTCATATTATAGAACTTCCTTATCGGATCCAATCACAAAGGGGTGGGGGGGTGTTCTCTAAACTCGCGAACTACATTTTTAATTCGAAAAAATCTCGCGAAGCTAAGACTATGCGACAGTGAATGACGCGTTTTGTGATTTTTCCACCGTTTGACTAAATGACAGATATGACAAAGTAGGAGTATGCTTCAAAATACTTACTGTTGTCTTTATTATTGCTCAGTTTTTTCCCACGCCCGTCTTTAAATCAAATAATTTTCAAAAAGTGACATCACAGTGACAATGAAAAGAAACACAAAAATAAAATTCCAGTATCTCATGCGATAATATCGATACGAGAACACCAATTTGTTGAAACTTTCAACATTTTCATGCTACAAATCTAGAAAGCGAGATTCGAAAACACTCCCTTTGGCCAGTGGCAAGTATCATTTTGCTAATTATTCACTAGGACAACTAAGAAATTCATTCATGGTACTTGAACAAACATTTCAGTCGCTTAAAAAATGGCAACAAGTAGGTTGACTGCACTTCCCACGCAACGCTCTTAACAGCACATAAATGTCACTCAAACAGGTCCATACAATTTGTCCATAGACATTCTTTCTTGCCCTACCGGCAGTGCATCTGAAAACGTGGCCTCTCCCCGCTACCTAACTCGGACATACGTGGCAACGTGGTAGCTCGGTCAGGGCATAGAAAATACTATGCATGTGATTCGATACCAGAACACTCATCACGATCAGCGTGAATATTTTTCTGTTTTTAGGGCTAATGTACAGAGAAATCTGTGATGTGTGAAATATATCTGATATGTGCGTCGAATTACCAATGTTGAGAGCATATAAATGAGCATCAAACAATTGAGATTAACCCTCCTCACAACCTTACAATCCCCACAACCTTACAAGTCCCACCCCCAAGTTTTTTCCATCTAAATTTTGTTTAAAAAATGATCAGTATGATATGAAACGTCATAGCCCGCTATTCTAATTTTATATGGACATAGACGCATAAACTGGTAGATTTTTCATATGCATGTGATGTTATTCTGTTATAAGTGTTATACCAGCTTGAATATATCAACGGCGTCAAATAATAACTACATTTCTTATCTGTTTTTATGATGACAATTTGGTATACCTCATTAGCTACCACAATAGCAATTGTTTGTCACATAGAAATAAAATGAACATTCTATATGTTCTTTCATTATTGAATTCAAGTACATGTATTTATTTTCTGAGCAAACAACTGCCTGCGTTTCAGTTGAATCAGGATCCTATGAAACGTCATAGCCGGCTATTCTAGTTATATATAAACATAGACGCACAAACTGGTAGAATTGATATGCGTGCGATGTTATTCTCTATACCAGCCGGAATATATCAACGGCGTCAAGTAATAACTACATTTCTTATCTGTTTTCACGATGGCAATTTGGTATACCTCATTAACTACGACAATAGCAATTTTTTGCCACAAAAATGATAAGCCTATTCACATAAAAATAAAACGAAGGTTCTATATATTCTTTCATTATTGAATTCGAGTACATACATTTTTTTTCTGAATAAACAACTGCCTGCTCTTTAGTTGAATCAGGATCCTATGAAACGTCATAGCCGGCTATTCTAGTTTTATATAAACATAGACGCACAAACTGGTAGAATTGATATGCGTGCGATGTTATTCTCTTATACCAGCCTGAATATATCAACAGCGTCAAGTAATAACTACATTTCTTATCTGTTTTTATGATGGCAGTTTGGTATACCTCATTAACTACGACAATAGCAATTGTTTGTCACAAAAATGATAAGCCTATTCACCTAAAAAATAAAATTAACGTTCTATATATTCTTTCATTATTGAATTCAAGCATATTTATTTTCTTAACAAACAATTGCTTGCTCTTTAGTTGAATCGCATCAAGTTTTTAATTAAGGAATACGCATTTCATCAAAACCTATTAAAAACTATTTAAACCCAATGTTCAGAGTGGACGGTAGTAAATGTAAATTCTGCAATTTGCTCGCAACAATATTGGAGTACAAACCATGTTTGGAAATTAGATTTGATGAATGAATAAAGTGGGAATGCTCAAGGTGATCATCGTTTGTTCAACATTTATAGTACAAAACGCATTACAAACTAAGCTATTAAAAATGTTTGAAAAATTGATATGAAGTAATTGTAAATAATTTTATAATGCGTTAAAAAAAACTTGGTAGAATATCAGTATTTTGTCTCTAGAAAGCTCGCTGTTTTTGCTAATTTTTTTTATATGAAGCTGTGTTCACAAGTTTAAGCATTGAATTTTCTGCCAAGAATTTGACGTGATAATCTCCAGAGCGACCCATTAAGTTTTTCCATCCCCTGTCCTTAGAATGTGGCACTATTTTCCCCATTGCGGACTTGGTGCTCATTCACGGAGACGCGGCACGTCAGGCGAGATTTCATTATCTGCGTCAAGCGACGTGTCTCGTGGTGCTTTAAGTCGCCCCTCAAGCCGGGGTTCAATCCCGTAAAAAAAAGGTTCTATGACCGACCCTTAACCTCTATAATTGGTAGTTTCTGGAGTATCTTAAACGTCACGGCTTAATTAGCGACAGGTAGTATGGTTTCCGGCATAAGCGATCAACGTCACGCAATTATGGAGTAAACTCATCTGGTCATATGATGCCACTCATCTCTCTTCATCCCACAATGTCAACTCAGGTGTTCTCCAAAGAGCGATCTTGGCTCCGACATTGTTTCGATTACATATCAACGATCTCCTTTCCTGCACGATTAATTTGACCCACAGCCAGGCTGATAACAGCACTCTACATGCAGTAATTCAAAGTGCTAAGCCGATCTCTATCGGTGAGATGGAGAAAAGAAAACTAGCAGCGACTGCCTCTCTGACGAGGAAACTGAAGGTTATCACTGCTTGGGAACGCATAATCTGATACAGTTTAATGCTTCCAAAACACTACTGTACTTTGGCTAACAACAAGAGCCATAGCGTTCGTTTGGTTTCGATGGATAGCTAAGCTCTACCAAAGAGCTGCTCATTTCGGCTGGACGGAGTCCAGATTAGCGAGGACTTGATCTGGTACCAACACATCTTGTCAATCGCGCCAATTGCTGGGAAAGAGCTAGGTTATATTTTAGGGCTAAGAAGTACGGTATTTTTCACGAGTATCCATTAGGTTTCGACGTCTACGGAGGTAAACAGCTGATCACAAACGCGACATCTTTGTATTAATCTGTTACGTTGGCAATAATGAATTTCAGGCCCGTATTCAGAGCTGTTGTTCACGTTATATTTTTGAGTGACTGGAAATGGACAAAAGAATGTAAAAAAAGTTCGGATATAAAAATGTTTATTAGAAAATTATTATAGTATATCTGAGATTTATTGAATACTACGAGGTAAGTGAATAAAACATGCTGCATTGCCCTTTCCAATTTTACCTGTCAAAATAATATAGCCACGTGTTTCCGGCTTATTGTCCGTAATCAGTATAACATAATTCAAATACAGGTTAAGTATGCGTAGAACCTATCTAAAAATTAATTATGAATTCAGCTTGTTCGAAACGCCCAACTGATGTAAAAGGAATTGAACTTGCACATTAAATCAACCTGTATATTAAATAGTTACAGACACGTTAATTGTATGGCTCATTACCTTTTAAAATCATATGGCGTTACAAGTTCTAAAAAGTATAGATGAGTAACATAGTCAAAAACTGTTTATTTTATTCCTATCTGACTTTGCAGCCATTTTGTTTGTAGTATTTTTTATATGCAGAAGAAATTTTCTCAATAAAAGAGTTGTTAGCAAGTAAAAAATGAATCTGTAGCGTACAGAAAACCACAATAAAATACGGATCTGTCTACCTGGCGTTGACGGATCCCTCAGAATTATTTTTGTACTTGTCGATATGGGGAGTTTTGAAATATCACTAGATAATAAGATGTTATTCTACCGTGATGGATTCTCGTGAAAAAAACCGTAGTTTTCTCCACATAATCACATCACTCTGCGAAGGCACAGATGTTTATTGTGCTACCGCCCCGGCTACATTATCTCATGCTCGATGCTGTTCAAAGGAGGGATGTCCGACTCATCGATGACTCTTCTCTAACGAACAATCTCGGTACCCTTTCGCCCTTAGCGGCTTAGCTCTAGCTAGCTTATACCTATATGTTAACGGACTTTGTTCATCAGAGCTCTCCTGCATGATTCCGCCCCGCGATGAGCCCGCCAGACAGACGCTCCTGACATCGGCCTCCCAACCATGCTGAACTTCGTTCATCAAGAACTGTACGACCGCTCCTATGTCCCTATGATGATTTTCCTCAGTTCTATTAACCTTTGACAGTTCAAAAATCGGATGAACAAAGTGTCACCTGATCGAGACGCTAGGCTCTGTGGACAGATATCAGGAAAATAACGTTGACTGTTTATCATGAACTATATACAATTCTCACCGTCACCAGAAAAAATAGTTCCTATTGGCTCATTCGTCCAGTGGGCAATACAGTTGATTTCATTCTGCTATAATTTTCAAATACGTGTATAAACACAAGTGAAAAAATCGCGTCTAGTAGGTTGATTCTTCTTGGAAAATATTGCATGGATCAAGTCAGTCAGACAGGCCCATACAATTAGTCCATATGGTCCCAACTTATTTGACAACGCTGCAATATAGAAATTTCTGCTCTGCCCTAACTACAGTACCAGCCATCTGACAACGTTTCTATGACTAACCTCTCCGCTCGTCAGGTATGGCAGTCACTACCGAATATGTAACACAGACATCCGCCGGTCGGATCCGACGCAGGTATATCCATTCTAAGCCTTAAAGGCAAGTGTAGGTGGGTATATATGAAATGAACATATGATGTGTGGAATATGTCTAATAGCTGCATATAATTACGGCGTATAAGTATACTAACTAAAAAATAGATGTAACCTCTGCCGCCTCCTACAACCCTCAGTCTCCAAATTTTAACCCCTACAACATTTTTCTAAAAGTCGTCAGGGCCTGAAACGTCAAAAAACCAAGTATGGGCGATTTTTATTTGTTTTGCCTCTAGCTCCGCCGTTTTTGCCATATTAATATATTGTGTAGAGATATCATCAAAATCCGAGCGGTACTTTCCAAGTTATAGACAGGCCAAGAATTAGCGGACAGACAGATCGAAGGAAATGAGTTAAAATAGGGAAACTATACTCATGAAAAATGAATGGATACAATCTATTTTTGATTATGAAGTGGTGTAAATTCATATTCTCAATACCATTAAAGAACACAATGGAAACGTTGCAACTGAAATTGGCATTTCAGGAAAGGAGAAGAACACTAAACAAATGTGGAAGAATTATGCGTCAATGGACTGCGGTGCAAAACTAGTGGCAGCCAATGCAGAAGCCCAAAGCGCAAATTCCATATTATCACCTTCCACTGACGAATATAAACTGAATCCTTGCACTAGTCGGATATGGTTCGTTGTAGAACTGTGCGAGGCCATACAACCAAAAAGAATTGATCTGGCTAATTATGAATTATTTTCTTCATCTCCAAAGGTAATTGCGTTTAAAAGAGGTTGTAAAATCATTTATTTATTCTCAAAAAGTGCACTTTGAAAAAATATATTAAAATACTTAATATTAGATAGTAAACACCCATCTTTTTGATAAATTCGCTGTCATTACAAGTATCAGAATGTAGTACACTTAATGCAGTATACCAAATGTTTTTCTTTTAATTATTTCAGTTTTATTACAAACTCTTTTAACATTCACCCTAAAATGGATTTCTCCTAGACAAGTATAATTTCTATTTGTTATATTTTTTGAGTTGCCAACCTTAGAATTCTTATTTTCTATTCTATTTTAATAAATTTGTAAAGCCATATTTTCCTCAGCTAGTCATTTTCTTGAGACTAACGTATTTTTTGACACCTCATTGACTTTTTGGTATCCAACGGAAGATGTTTTCAATTTGTTTTGGAATTTTTCTTAGGATTTTACTGTATCAGTGAGCGAAAGATTCCCGACTAGAGATTGGATGCAAGTAGGAAAATTCACTGCAAAGGATGAAAGAGACGTGCAAAGTTTTGACGTTGACTCTCACATTTTTGGAAAGTATATAAAAGTAGAAATCAAGTCGCATTATGGATCAGAACATTATTGTCCTTTATCGCTGTTTAGAGCTTATGGAACGTCGGTGTTTGAAGTACTACAGGTGAGTGAACTAGTATTAACGTTCTTGATTTGACACATAGATGAGAGTTAACAAGTACAATCTAAGCATACCTCAAATGTCAAAATCCACCAAACCGTTTGGTCTGCAGCCCGTGAAATAGAAATTTAAAGGTTGAAGTTTAAAATCCGCTATTTTGATTTTACGAAATTTTGGCATACCCAGTTTCCCTCGGGCTGTCAAGACACATTTTTAGACACATCGTATGCCAGAATCCATTAAGTCATGAAATAGACATTTCAAACTACAAAATTTCGCTTATCAGCCGCCATTTTCATTGTATTAGATTGTAATGTTTCCAGTGTCACTCGCACTGCTAAGACGAATCCAAAAACACCTCATATGCCAAAATCATTCAAGCGCTTCAAGCTCTAGCCTGTAAAACAGGAAATTCAAGGTTAAACATTTTTATTAAAATCCGCCATTTTGTTTTTATAAAATTTTATTATAGCCATTGTCAATCGCACTGCTAAGATGAATCCAATGCCACCTCATAAGTCTCAATCCATCAAGCCATTCAAGTTGTATGCTGTAAAATAGGAATTTCAAGGTGTTTGTCTTTAGTATCAAACTAATCAAACTAAATTCGCGAAATGTTTACTTCAAGTCTACGATTGTCAGAGAGATATCCAATTTTGCTCCCACTAGCGGCGCTTGAGCGGTTGGAGGTCACACCGTCAAAAGTTTAACTAGTCAGATTGGATAGAATGGTAACGAGATTTCATAATGTTTTGACGTCCATTGACGTGAATAACTGATCAGCAACTGGCCGCTTTATCTGCTTATAACCTTAGACACGACTTCCAACCTAACTAGCGCCATTTGCTTCTAGCTTTCTAGATTACCCCCATTGCATCTTGATTATCATTTATTTTACGATACTTGCTCTTTAAGTCTGACAAGGGTGAGTTACACAATTTTTGTTAATATTCCATAATTTTTAGCTAACGAATCAAAAGTATTTAAACGTTATTATATTGGGTTTTATTGGTACAAAATTGTTTTGTTCCACCATAGTATTTTTTAAACAATTTGATAAAAAATAGATTTAGAAAGGGCGAAGCTCAGCAGACAAGTCATCATAGTTGTTCCTACATAATAACTGCAAATTTCTAGAATATAAGGTTCAAAAGGACGACACTCCCGACCTATCTAAATGACGACGCCACGAATTGCTCGATTTCTTTATAATTCTCCAAACACCCATTCTAAATCATTGATTTAGAATGGGTGTTTATTTAGCTTTAAGCTATGATATTATATTAACATGAATATAACAAAAATCACATAACACTGGTGCTATTAGGAAAAACATTATATAGTCTTGAACTTTCAACAAAATGAGATTTTTCCAATATCTAACATTTCAATATAATCATTTTATTTTGATGGTATGTCATATAAGACGTCATACCAGATCTTTTCAAAATAAATTTGCTAAACTGAGTTAGTGTTATATTGTTTATAATATTAGATAATAGAATTAAGTTTGCATCTTATATAGTTTCCTGGGCTGTTGAAAAATACAAATTTTGTTTCATAACTCAATTTAATAATATTCTTGTTCAATAATTTATTTCATAACTCAATTTAATAATATTCTTGTTCAATAATTTAATAATAGTCTGTCGAACTAGAAATAAGTAATGATTAGCAATATGACTTACTCTTTTACACCATAGAAACAACTTGGATGAAATTCTGCATTAATAAATTAGCACTAAATATTTGGTCACACTCTATAATGCATCGAGGACTTAAATATCTATTGATAGTAAATTTCTTGTCGAGCAAAATGACAAGTCTAATAGCTTTTGACGACACAGAGGGCCTATTCAGGGTAAATCAATTTGTATCGGGGCATTTTTGGGCTTGCATCACCGTGAGAAAAAACAGTAGGAGCTTTTCAATAGGAGCACCTTATATTGTTTTTGTCTATTCTGTAGTATGCATCGCATATTCTGGGATAATCAACAGCTCTGAGCTAGTTGAACATCATGAGCCATTTATGACAAGTGAATAATGTGATATCCTAAAACATTTAATTTCAAAATTATGAGAGTGGGATACCTTTTTCAGAAAGAAGACCCAACTCACGAAAACCGGAACGATGACGACGATGATGACAATGAAGACGACACAATCCTTAACGAAGGCTCCGAAACGAACCTTTTCAACTCAGCTAAAGACGCTGTTATCTCGATCGTTCGCAAAGCAGCCGAAGTTTTGGGCAACAAAGTTAACAACAAAACAGCTACGAACCATCTGAACAACACAGAATCTAACTTGCACACTTGCGTTCATCCTCGATATTCTGTGGTCTGCCCCAATGAATCTCTCTGTGATAGAATCTACGAATTACTCAGTTGTAGTTCAGACTTTATTGGACACATTGTCGCTATACCCAGAGTATACAAAGCATTATGGAACTCAGATGTATGTGAGATCTTTGGCATTGAGTTAGAGGAACAACCCAAAGAGTTCTGTCACTCCAACTCGGTAACGCCCTTCTTCACCATCGATTACTTGGGTGAGTTTTTTGATTTTTATTTACTCAGAGTCTTTGATGTTGGTTGCAGATCGACACGTGAATGTACAAGGTAGTCTGGACTCTTTTAAGATTTGACATCAAAAAGCTAATGTGTGGTGAAACACCAGCAGAATGAATGAAGAAAATCACTCACTGTCTATTTGAAAATAAATTTCTAGTAGCTCAGCATCACATGATGCTTATAAATACTGTCCAAGTTTGTTGGCGCCCCCCTCAATCGACATCATTCGGGGCTATTTAGGTCTTCTACTGCGTTCACCTTGACTTTCTTACAAATGGTCTTTGTACGAGATAAACTTATGTGGCGCAGGATGGAAACGTCAACAAAAACGATCTGAATACACTCGCGAAGCATCAGCAGCCTTTTGAAAGACACCCACCGTAAAGTAACATCAAATTGAGGTTATTAAGAATGGGTTATTATCATTTTTTTTACATCCGACTTATAGAGGCACAAATCGCGCAGGTTACCTAACGGTGCACATAGCCAGGATTCGATACTGACCCAGGTCGTATCTTCCACCTAATCCTTTTTATCTGAAGATTTTGGTATAAAGTACCGGCTTGTGAACATCCCGTACATTATTGATTTGAAAGTACGTAGTAAGAAGTGCATATTGTTTTTCTCCCGTCAGGTGCAATGTGCAACGAGGCTTTAGTGGTAGGTGGACAAGCTACGTTAAACGTCAGCCAACAGTTCTTGAACATCACCAAGAAGCTTACAACAGAAAAGATCGTTCATATTAATGTGAAAGAAAAGAATATCAATGAAGAAGTTTTGAACGAGAAAGTAGCGACTGTGAAGAATGTGACAGAAAGCAAAGTAGAAAACGTGAATGATACCGTCGATGACAATAGTACTGTGCAGATTAAACCTACCAAGGTAGTTCCTGAAGGTAAGAAGAATTTAATCTGATTTTATCGGAAGTATTTTTTAGAAAAAGATGTTTTATTTGTTTAAGAGTTATTTATGTAGAAAATTATTTTATGAGATTCAACCCTGAACACAAAGTATCGCACAAATGAGAATGGGCTTTCAAAGCAATCTTCAAAATAATGTACTTAGTGTTAGTGCCACGTTTAGTTTCAAGCGTTTTTTCATTGGTGAATAGTTATTTTGACCAAAGAATCTTAAAAAATGACAAACAATATACGTGGTACTTCAGGTAGATTCAGAAATTGAATATGAAGAACGCCTATTATGTTTCAGACCAAACACTTCCTCAAACAGCAGACCCTAATGAAACTAAAGCTGAGGAACCGACAGTCGAAGTAATTACATCAGCACCTGCAGAGCCATCAACTACTCATGTGGAAGGATCTGCAGAACTGAATATTAGCGGAGATGGAGAGCTGCATCCGGAAACTACGGAACATCTGGAGGATCATATTGATCACATCATTTCTGACCTGAACGGGGATACTCAAACGACGACACCTAGTGCCACAACGAATGCCCCTCAAGGACCGAAAGAGTCGATATTTTTAAGGCTGTCAAATAGAATCAAGGTGAAATTTAGTTTTTATGAACATTTATGCAGGCTGGCGTATTCATTATATTGTGTCATCTATTTTCCTATACGAATTCATTTTATCAACGTTGTTACTGTGGAGCCTATGTACCAGGAGAACCGGCGAAACTTCACTCCTGACTGAGGGCAAAATGATTCAAGCGACTATCAGCTACTGCGCATGCTCAAGCTATCTGAGATTATATCGGGTTTTCCAATAGGGACTTGACAACTATGAACGTTTACTTTGAACGCACCTTTAAATCAACTACCGAACTGACACTGCCAAAACATTCAGTAAAGAAAACATCATGGTGAAGTACACGAACGAACAACGCTTACAAATAATTAAAATTTACTACCGAAATTCCGAGTCGGTGACTGCAACTTAAGAGCGTTGATGCCAATTTTTGGTCGTAACTCTCGTCCCAGTAGACAAGCAATTCATAGACTAGTAAAAAATTGAGTCCACATATTCGCTGATGGATGTACCTGTGCCAGTGTCGAAGTGCCGGGAATATTGCTGCCGTTCAAGCTTCCGCCTCAAACGAACAGAACACGTCAATTCCACGGAGTTCTCAAGAATTGGGCATCGCTCAGACCACACTATGGTGAATTTTGCGAAGAGATCTTGGCCAGCACCCTTATAAGATCAAGTTAACTCAAGAAATGAAGCCGTTCGATCATATGAACCGACGTCCGTTCTCGAATTGGGCTCTAGAAATGTTGCAAGAAAATGACCAATTTTATTGCAAAATCATCTTCAGTGATGGGGCGCATTTTTGGCTAAACGGCTTCGTCAACAAACAGAATATGCGTTATTGGTCGGGTGAAAACCCTCATGTGCTTCAAGAAACACCGCTTCATCCTCAAAAAAATAACTGTATGGTGTGGTTTTCATGCCGGTGGTGTCATTGGGCCGTTTTTTTTTTTCGTTGATGAAAATGACGGTCACGTTACAATCAACAGAGATCGCTACAGAGACATGCTACAACGTTATTTTTTGGTCAATTGGATGGGCTAGACATTGATGATGTTTGCAACAGGACGATGCCACAAGCCACACAGCGGGTGAAACAATCGAAATATTGAAATCAAAATTCAGTGAACGTGTTATATCGAGAAATGGTCCTGCCGCCTAAATCGTGTGATTTAACACCTCTAGACTTTTTTGTGGGGCTACATTAAATCATTGGTCTATGCCAACAACCGGCGTCGTTCGGAGAGCTCAGAGCCAATATTGAACGAGAGATAACGGCCGTTTCTGTCGAAATGTGTGGCCGAGTCATTGAAAATTGACCGTGGTGGACATATGAACGAGGTCGAATTCCATACATAAATGTTTTGAGTATACTTCAATCCAATAATAAAATTTTCGAGATATCTCAAATGGTTTGAGTTTTATTTAAAAAGAAAGTTGTCAAGTCCGTAATGGAACACCCTTTAGCATGAGGTCCAGCCGGTTGAGTCTGCAGGGCTCTGATGCCTGGCAAAGGAAACTGTTCTGTAATCTATTCTTCTATTATTTATGATAAAAAAGGTTTACCAGAAAAACGGATACGAGGGATGTCTTTTAAGTTTTGCATATGGAAATAAAACAACACGTTAGGTAGTTTTAAATGACTTTATTGTTTTTCGAAGTATTCTCCACGAAGATTAATACACATCTGCATGCGCTCGAACCAATTTTCGAAGCACTTATCCGCTCGTTTGCTGGCAGATCCAAAACGGCATTTTTGAATGCGTCAACTGCTTCTTCTGGTGACTGGAACCTTTGACCACGTAGTCTGTTTTTAATTTTCGGGAAAGTAAAGAAATCGTTAGAACTTAGATCGGGACTATATGGAGAATGGTCTAATAATTCCACGTGGAGGATGGTCCAATAATTCCACGTTTCCTTCCGTTAAATACTGCCTTGTTTTTTGGGCTGTGTGCGAGCTTGCATTGTCTTGGTGGAGGATGATTCTTCTTTTGGGGTTGATTTTTCGACGCTCGGTGATGACTTTTGGCAAACAAATGGTGGTATACCAATCTGCAGTAACAGTTCTTTGCTCATTAAGAGTAATTGTTGCAATATGACCCGCTTTTGACACAAATGTCTCGACCATCTTTTTCGAAACACTTCGAGAACGGAAGACTTTTGTTGGTTTTCTTCACCTTGGAACAGCCAAACAGCCGACTGTCGTTTATTTTCTGGTTCATAACAGTAAATCCACGATTCATCACCACTAACAATGCTGTATGCATTTTTTGAGTTTTCGGAATTGAAACGGTCAAGCGTTTTTTGACACCAGTTAACCCTGGCTGCTTTCTGCTCTTCAGTCAACAGGTGGGGTATCCAACGAGAAACTAATTTTCTTACTCCTAATTCTTCATGTAATTGAGGTCTTTGAGATCTTCAAGGACGCCTCAATGTCGCGATATGTCACATGTCTACCTTCAATGATGAGTTCGCATCGACGTTTTCCTGGGTGACTGCCGTTTTTGGTGCACCCACCCTCGAATCGTCGCTAAGACTCACCCGTCCACGTTTGAATTCTCCATACCAACGAGATATTGTCGACTGATGTGGCGCTTCGTTGACGAAAACAGACAGTAACTCAGCAAGGCATTCTTGTTGCGATAATTGTTTCTGAAAGTTGTAATAAATTATGGCGCGAAAATGTTGTCGGTTGAGTTCCATCTTTCTAATGACTCGGTGACACTTAAAAATTCACTGTAGTGAGAACACTGCACGTATTGTTGTGAAACTTTGTATTTAAGTTTACTAAAGAGTGAGGCTAAGATTCAGTACTGACGTTCGATCCGCGCGGCCTACTATGTTTCTATATGCAAAACTTGAAAGACATCCCTCGTACCTGCAAATTCAAGCACAGCGTTGCCAGATTGGTCGGATAGAATTTCCCTAGGACAAGCATAAAAATCCCTCAGGATTGCTACTTAAAAAAACAAATCAAAATTATTGGAAAGGGGAAGGCTTGATTCAAAGAGAGGGGGGAGGTTTTCTATCCGCGAAATGTATGATTTCCCCTAAAATATTTTATCTCAAAAAAGTTCCCCAAGTAAAATTCTCTCAGATTTGGAAAAAAATCCCTAAACATGGCAACCCCGTCACTGGTACTCCAGTCGTCTAATTTCGGGGTCATATCTCCTAGTATATAGGCTTCAAGGTTGCTACGCTTAAGTGTTAGAGAAAAACATACATATTTGGAAACCCTAGATCGAAAAGGAACTCAGTACCCTGTATCCCACCAAATCAGCCAATAAGACCAGATCTTTATTTTGAATACTGATAGAAGGTAACCATACAATTCATGCCAAACTGTCAACGTCAGAGAATAAAGGTTATTACCCTCAAATCTGACGGAGCCTAGTTTTCATTGTAGAAGTATTTTAAAGACATAGCTTGGGAAAACTGGATACATTCGGAATATACTTTTTGCGAACAGAATATTGATATTCCGTTAACTTTTATAATAATAATAATAATCTTTATTGATCATAGAAAAAATACACAAGTATTCATAGACATGCCAGTTAAAAAAAAAATAGAAAAAGTGCAGTACCATAGACATAGAAGTACACTAACTATAATAAACTCAATATACAAAGAGACACTAATATGATTTTACAAAGTCGAGCAAAATGTCAAGAACATTATAAAATTGTCCATTTAATTTAGTCAAGAAGGCTTTCCTGTCCCTTGCCAAAGCATAATATTCCTCAAAACTGTAAATACAGGCCCTAGTTAATACAGATTTCAATCTACATTTAAATCTGCTTAACTGAAGTGCTTTCACCTCATCTGGCAATGCATTGTACAATTTGATTTCTTCACTGTTGGTTCTAGCCAATCTGTTGGTTGGCAGTACCAGATTATTGCAATGTCTTGAGTTGTATGAGTGAAATTTTTTTCTGACATATATTAATTTTTCATAGATAATCAGGCCATATAAAGTTATTACATTCATTGATCTAGCAAGTCTAGCAGTTTTGCTGGACAGAGTGGGAATAGAAATATGACATTCGTGATCATTTTATAGACGTGTCTTTGCATAGATAAGCCTTTGTCAGCGTCATTTGATTCATTTTGCAATGTTGATCATTCGATCTTCAAGAAATTTTTGTTTTCTTACATAGGCTCTAGAACGCAACATGTCCATATCTAGTCAATACCTGGAAGAGCTGAGTAGGCGTTACAAGAAACAAGTGGAAGACATCCAGAACCTTCTTGAAAAGACCATTGTCACTTTACGCGAAGAAAACAGCAAGCGTAACAAACAGCTGGAAGAACGTCTCGACCATCTAACATTTACATTAGAGTCATACAAGAGACAGTTTGTCATGACCGTATTCTATATCTGTATTTTTCTTGCTGCTCTGGGTGGTGGTCTGTACTTTTTTTGTCGGACGCCAGCCCAGAGCGTTCAACGAACGATTGAGAAGGCCCCTGAAATTCTGCGTCGCAAATCTGTCGATGATTTGACCGGAACTGCCAAGGACAAGAAGAAAAGGCGACCCAGTGATCAGGTAAGATATCTTATTCACCTGTCAATCTAGATTCATCAGCTTCTTGGTTCTTTTTACTGTCTGTTCGTTAATCTTTGCATCGTCTGAAACTTTAAAGGAACTGCTCGGAAAAAGAAAATTAATATCGCCCAACCTTCGTTTTTTGACGTTTCAGATCATTTTTGAAAAATTTTGTAGGTGTAAAAAGTCATATAAATTAAGAATGTGCAAACAACGAACGACTTTTAAAAAAAAGCGACTTTATTTAACAGAAGACGAATGAGTACTGGTCACCTTGGTTTACATGCATCTCTTACTTATAACCTACACTAGAACAAAGGAATCGAAAAGTGCAAACCTAAGCAACTCTACATATTAGATCATCATCATAGCAGTGCCGTAATTCCTCCCTCTTCAAGAAGATTGAACCTCCTGGTTCAAAGGAAAAATCTGGTTAAGTTCAATGTCATTTTTGACTGATTGATTTTTTGGTTCTTTTTGCTTCAAAAGAGAGAGCAATTGTTTTTTTAAACAAAGTATAATTACAATAAATGTTAAAATACATAAAATAGTTACAATGCTAAACGTGGACGTTTTGTGTGAAAAATCTAAATTTTTTAATTTATCGTGTAATAAAACATTATTTTAACCCTTTACATCAGTATTTTCAAATCACATATTCTTATCATAGTTCACCATAATGTTAGGTATGTATAAAGGTTTCGAAATATCAGAAATCTTCAAATACTCAGTATGATCAATAAATGTTTTACAGTTTAAGCTGATAGTAAAAGAGGAATCAATTTCTTTTCTTTCTTTGGTACAATCTTCATATACTGGAATATTCTTGTTAGTATTCACTAAATAGTCATCATGTTTTAATTGAATTACTTCTGAAAATGAACCTTTTGCCAAGAATGTACAATTTTCAACTTTAAGTAAGTTACAACTGGAATGGATTAGTATAGTACAGTAAAAATATTTATTACTCAATAATTTGCATTCATCACAAAAGTGTATAGTTTCATTTTCGATAATATTTTTATTTCAATACCAGAATATTATTTTGGTGTATAATGGGGTATATATTGGAATATATAAAGTTACCAGTAACTGTTGGTATGTGAAGAACAAATATGATTTCTTCTTCGAGGACTATAATACTTAATTCACATAATTCGAAAAATTCAAAATTGTGCAGTTTATCGAGTGGGAGAAGTTCATTTTTGTCAAATAGATCACTTAATAACGAATGGATATAATTAATTTCAGACTTACTCAGCTGTAAGAGATTTATGCCCTGATTTGTGCTCAGGTTAATGGTTAACAGTAAGTGTGATAATTAATTAGAAAATCTTTGAATAATTATTATCTCATTCAAGACATACTGAGAATTAGCGTATTCGCTATGCAATTTGTTGAGGTTATCCAAATTATCTCTCAAATTTTTCTTTATAATTAAAGTGTTATTTTCAAACCTGTCTTGTAATTGTTTTGCTACAGAGACGGTTCGGGAATTTTGTAATGATAAATTATCTTGATTTTCCTTCAGAATTTTCATATTTTCCATTATTTCGTCTAGATCAGATTGATCTAAATTGCCTGAAATATATTTTATGATGGAACCAAGACCATTAAATAATCCACGCTTAACTCGTTTAAATTTTAACACTTCATATTTGTCTAAAAGCAAATTGTATTCATGTTCAAGTTGTGTCATCAACGTATCATCGATTCTTTGTTTTGCAAAATAGACATTTGACGTTATTTGCTTGATATTTTCATTAATGAGAGTGAGATTTATATGAAAAAATGTCTTATGGTACGCTTTTAGTAGATAGGCGTTACCTAGCTCTTGCTTAAAATATGGTGCTTTATTCTCGATCAGCTGGATCTCTAGGCCGGCTAGTTGAAGGGCCTGGATTAGGATCCTGAAAGTTAGAAATTTTGCGTTGCGGCTTCACTCTATTCAGTCTATGCTTTTTCCTTTAGTGCGCAAATTAATATGGACATTTTCTTGTTCGTAAGAGGTCTCTTTAGAATACAGGGGTTTTGTTTTATGTGAACGATCTAATGCAGATTTAAGATATACTGGACCTTCTAAGGTTGGAATTTCCTTATTTCGATTTTGATTAATTTTTTCTAGTCTTTCCGTTGCCTTATCTTGTACACGGTTCTTCATAAAAAGGTAGTAATTCTCTGTACCGTTTCTCGTTATATTCATCATATAATTTTGTGGGGGTATCGATCAAATGCTTATTCAAATCGTCGTAAGGACCGTATAATAATGAAAATGGGGTATATGTGGTCGTAGAATGGACACTTTGGTTATAAATTAAGATAGCTGTCGTCATTAGATCAATAATCGAATCGATTTTATTTTGCTGACGTAAAATTTTGAGTTTTTCTTTCAAGGTACTATGAAATCTTTCAAGAGGTGATAATGATGAGGGGTTACCTACACTAGTAACATGACATTCAATTTTGTGCATATTACAGAATTCTTTTATAACTTTTGTGTTAAGTTCACCAGGATCAAAAGTTATTTTGTCAGGACAATTGTGATGGGAAAAGAAGTGTCTGATTTTGTTTAATATTTCGTTAGATAATTTTGATTTTAAATTGTAGGCCTGGGCATATTTACTAAATAAATCAACAAATGTTAAAAATATTTGTTGTTCGACTTGAAAAATATCTAGAAATATATGTTCAAATGGTCTTTTGGCTATTAGAGGTCCTTCCATATGGAGTTCGATTGGCCGTCTTTCGTATTTTGATGTCAAACAAGTATTGCACTGATTAATGTAATTTGATATTATTTTTTTCATATTTGGAGTGAATGCTTTTTTCTTGAAATGGCTGTAAGTTTCATTGATACCATTATGCGTTTGGCTATGAGAAAGACAATTGTTCTGTAAATGAGTCTTTTAGTAGGTATATAGGCTTATAAGAAGCTTTAACAAATCTTATACCGCTGTTCGAAAAATACTGTTCTAAAAGTTCGTTAAGTTTGAATTCTAAAAGTTGATTTTCATACCAAATACCATAAGTATGATCGGGCTGAAGATATTCCTTCATAAATTTCAAAAGTTGCTCTGTTTCAGATCCACTTCGGACTGTTACCATTAAAGTTCCATTGCAAGACTTTGTTATTTTGTACTGATTTTTTAACTGAAAATGTATTCGATTTTTGAAAAAATAAAAATTCTTTTCTTGATACAATATATGATTGATAGGATTTTGTGCAGATGAATGTCGAGTAACATCAGATTGCTCAACAATTTTGAGTCGTTCATCTAACGGCATTTCATCTAATAAATCAAATAAAGGTAAATTATCTTCATTCAAGATTTCATCAAGTTCTTGGGCTGTTAATTCTTCTACAGAATCTACTTGTGGTAAAATGGATAAAAGATCGTCATCCTCTAAAGCGTTAATTTCAATTCTACTAAGTGCATCGGCTACAACATTATCTTTGTCTTTTTTATATTTAATTGAAAAATTATATTCTTCTAACTGAAGCTTCCATCTAATCAATCGCTGATTGGGCACTGATAAAGAACTCAACCAAACTAGGGGCTTGTGATCACATTCGATTAGAAAATTTTGACCAAATAAATAAGGACGGAATTTTTTACAAGAATCAACTATTGCCAATAGTTCTTTTTCAATAACGCTGTAATTGCGTTCAGCAGAATTTAATGTTCTAGAGTGGAAAGCAATAGGCTTATCATTTTGACTAAGATCTCCCGATAGGGCTGTATTGCTACAATCAGTTGTCAATGTAAATTTTTTGGAAAAATCAGGATAAGCCAGAATAGGTGGGTTACAAAGAGCTTCTTTACAAAGTTTAAATGCATTGATATAATCTGGATTATTGATATTGATTTTTTCATCTTTACGTAAACATTTTGTGAATGGCTTAGTCAATTGTGCAAATCCTTTAATAAATTTACGATAATAGTTCATAAGGACTAAAAATGACTGGATTTCTTTAATCGTAGTCGGGAGAGGATATTCTTGAATTACTTTGATTTTATCTGGGTTTGGAAGTATGCCTTGTGGCGTGATGACATGACCTAAGAATGGAACATCTTTTCTCAGGAACTCGGATTTGTCCAGTTGGATTTTTAAATTAAACTGATTCAGTTTTTGGAATATTTTTCGAAGATGCAAAATGTGTTCGTCTAGGGATTTTGAAAAAACAATGATATCATCCATATAGACAAAACAAAAAACGTTGATATATTCTACAATACGTTGAAAGGTAGCAGGGGCATTTTTTAACCCAAATGGCATACGGACATATTCATAGTGGCCATTTTTAACAGTAAAAGCCGTTTTTTCTATAGACTCAGGATCCATAGGGATCTGGTGGAACCCTTGTGCCAAATCAATAGTAGAAAAATACATGCTTTGGCCTAAATTTTCCAAAATTTCTTCAATTAGTGGGAGTGGAAATTTATATTCAATTGTTATTTCATTCAGTTTTCTGAAATCAATAACCATCCTATATTTTTGAACACCGGATGCATCCATTTTCTTAGGAACTATCCAGCAGGGTGATTGATAGGGTGAATTGCTTTGTCGAATGATTCCATCATTCAATAACTTGGAAACTTAATTTTGGATTTCCTTTTTGAGATGATAAGGATATCGATAATTTTTTACATAAATTGGGTCTTCATTTTTTAACCTAATTTTGTGTGCAGTGGCATTACAGGGAGTTAATGGTTCGTTAGGCTTGAAAAATACCTGTTTGAATTGCTTGCAGAGCTTAATAATCTTTTCTTTTTCTTCACTATTCATATGAGACGTACGAATTAAATTTTCAACACGTATATTGGGTTTTTCAGTAGAAAATGGAGATTCTTTTTCAATTAGAAAATCATCAAGAGATTCAGATAAAAATGGGTTGGAAATATCAAGAAGATTTATGTCAATTGGATATTGAATAGCATTATTTTCTACGTTACAGATACATTCAGGAAAATATTCGTCAGAATTTTTGAATTTCAAAG